TTTCATTACCAACTACCACAGACATCAGTTCCTGACTGTGGAAGAGCTCTAATACTCTGCCACCGCACACTCTGTGGAAACCTTCATAAAACGCTTTGAAATGAGATTCCACGGATCTGTTTAGTATATAGTCGACATAAAGGTCGACGAATTGCTTCCTGCAAAGGGGCATCATATTTCTTTTTATTATCGCTAACACATTATTAGTGCTAACACATATGATATTTACGTACTTATTTTTTAACGTTACAGGAACTTTGCTACCGCCGGGTATCAATTCGAAGGTTTTCTGTTCGCCGAATGCCTCTCGATTCACTTCGAAGTTCAAACTGAACACGTCTTCGAAATCCAATTCGTTGTAGTCGAGAATACTCTGCATACTTCTGCAATAACATAAATATATACATACACACGCGCGCATGCACATACATAGACAGATTCGTTAAATTCACAATTAATGAAACGCCATAACACGCCAAGGACACCAGGATATCATGGAATGGAACGTACTTTGCAATTACTGGTGATAAATCCTTGACGTCGTTCAATCCAACTGATTCTCCTAACAACTTTTTATACAAGGCCAACGGGAACGGTAAATTGATAATGATGAAATTATAAATAGCCAAACCACAGAGAAGACCGATTAGGAAATACATGACTTCATCCTCAAACGAGTCTTCGATAAACCAGATTGTTCTCGTTTCTTCATATTGTTTAAACATACCGTACTTGGGATCGAGTACTTCTCGCAACAGGAGCATGAAAAATTCCTTCTTCACCCCGCCTGCGTCTTCAGCCTCCTCATCGTGAAATTTGATCTAAAGAATTTAAACGCGTTTTGTACGAGTAGTAGTTACCAGTTCTTAGAATCTTCAATCGTAATTTTCTCTTTTAATCTTCAAGATGTACTGAATATCTCACCAATTATTTACACGCACATATAATTAGCCGATACAATGCTAGATACTCACTCTGAGCGGTTTCTTCAAATCATAAGGATCATATTGCGATAATTGTGTTAAAGTATCCGTGACTATATTCTCTCGTGATACGTTCAACGTCACAAATTGATTATGCTGCCGAGCGTCTACACTTCCCGTGTTTATATGAAATAATATATGTCTGATGGCTCTCGATGCTGCTTCATTCATCGCGGATTGCATCTAACACAATATATATGTAATATATATTGTGTGCGTGTGTGTGTGTGTGTGTGTGTATGTATGTGTGTATCGCGTTTACAGATCAATTGTTCGATTTAAAAATATTTCTAGATTCATATTGATATTTTCTTTTTATACCTGTACAGCTTGATCCGTTTCCAATAATACAGTTTTCGCCTCGGCATCGAAAAGGAAAGGATAATTGCAAAAGTATATTCTGGGATACTGAAAATTGGCAAAAATTATAAAGTCAATCACATATGCATGTACATGTGTACTCAACAATACAAATTATCAGGGATGACGTCCGTAAGAGTATTCTAAATATAACTTTTAAGCTGATCTATAGACGATCTCTTCTAAAAATATTGTTTTCTAACGCAATCACCACGCAATCTTTCTATCGACCTATCACCGAGACACACGATGATATATCGTAAAAGAAGAGCTTCTGGACGTCTCTTTTGGAGTTACTTACATTAGGTGAGGAATCTTCCATTAGCCACCTAAGATACTCAGTTCTGATATCTATAAACTGCATCAGATTCGGCAAATGAAAAGTTTCGTAAGATACTCGCATAGCATCGTCTGCGAAATTTAGTTTATATAATAACCGTAATAATTCTAGGGCACACTTTAGGCTTGGATTCCACGGGACACTCTGTAAAATATAATTTTCAGAGTAATTATTACACGCACGCACACATTTCTTCTTACGATGATTACGATCGATGATTACGCGTCATTACCTTGTCCGCTGTCGATTGCTTCACGAAGTGTAATACGACATACTTGTAAATCCTCACTAGTCTCTCAAAGTAATGCGCCGGAGCATTGTTCCACCATATGTTTACAATTTTGCAAGCCTCCGGCTTTAGAGTCAACACGGCCTGGGAAAATGGTTTCTGCAGACTGTTGTGGTTTATTGGGTCCACGAATCCGTGATACAGTGGCAACGTTAAGTACACTCTTAGGGACTCTACGTCGGGCGGAGATGTTGCTAACGACGGTAAAAGACTATCGGTTATACATGTAAAAATCTGTAATAACAAAAGAATGTCGTTAAATGTTGAACAATTCAATATATCATTAGACAGGGTAATTATCTAGTGCCGAGTAAAATGCGGTACATGCTACCAGAGGAATCCCATGCAATATTGACAATATGCCATACCTACCAATTCTTGGATCGTTTTGTTTTCTAATTTTGAAATAATTGCGTATAATTTAATCGCACTATCAATGTCCACACCGTGATGTTTCCTCGAACATCCGTAATGCGCGTCATTAGCGCGCAAGAAAGATCCATTTATACATGCTTGACTTCTGAACACAGTCTCTAAATACCTGGAGAAACGTTTAAACGAATTACTGTGTACGGTCTGCGACAAAGTCGGCAAATCTGTTACAATCACGATTATGCTGTACAGATCTCTGCTAGTTACGAATGCGTTTGCCAACACACTTATTCTCACTCACGTAATTAATTCATGATCAACCAATGATTCAGCTGGAACTCTTTGACAGGCAGCTAGTTGTTCCTCCGTCACTGTAAGAATTTGGGAGGTTGACCCTAATATTCTACAGTCATCTGGTTCTATATTATCCTGTAGATGTTCAAGTATAAATAATTCTTTCGTATATTATTCACGGGGAAATACTGCGAGACAGATATTTCGTTCCGGTACTTTTCTTTTGCTTTTCAAAAACTCAGAGAAGAGAGTCAGTTGACTTCAACTGATAAATTTGACAAGTAAATTAACTTCTATAAAGATACATATGGGAAATGGGAAAAGCACACACTTCTCTCAAGGTGACTATAGCGAAACAGTGATCACCACCGCTAAAAATATGTTTAACAACGCAATCAGTTGGTTTAGGACTGTCATGTGAGTCGTGGTTTATCATTGAAGATCCGCTCGGAGAGACCCATGGTCCAAATACAACTTGTGGTGTTGTAGAATTCTGGGCGATACGGTTACCCAATTGTCCGGCACCACCTAGACCCCACGCATAAACTCTGCCTCTAGATGGTACCAAAGCCAATGTGTGCCTTCTCCCGCAGGATATCTATACCACACAAAACGTTCGCCTATCAACTGTCATTGACAAGTCGAGTGAGAACGATAAATATGATTGTTGCAAGTGATGGCTTACCTGGGTCACCGTACTGCCCATCAGTTCCATTATTTGTCGCGGCAAAATTTCACTTGTTTTGTTTCCATGACCCAATTGGCCATACATCCCAGCACCGCAAGTGAACACTCCACCATCCTGGAATGTAATCACATGAAGATCTTTCTCGTCAAATCTATCAATCTGTGCGATCTAATTCATGCAATTTGTAAGCAGTAAAACTACTTTACTACCATCGTCAGGAATACGGAAAACTCTTCACCACATGCTGCGTAGCATACTCTAGAGTTTCTCAGAGTACGCAATTGACATGGCACATTTCTATTTTGTATATCGCTCAATCCCAATTGTCCAAAAGTATTTCGGCCCCATGCGAATACTGCTCCTGTTTGAGACACAACAGCGTCAAGGAAATAAATTCAACGTCTACACGAGATTTTTTCTCTTTCCTTTGTTCCAGTTAATAATGTAACGAGGTGAACATTTACCAGATTTCGATATGACTATAGTATGATATCCCCCACATGCCACAAATGCAATCGGTACAGCAGCTAAACTATGAACTAGCTTGGGTTTGAGTTCCATTTTTGTGTCAGATCCTAGTCCTAATTGCCCATCACTGTTACTGCCCCATGCGTACAGCTCTCCATTATTCGTAAGGGCGATCGAATGCTTCAAACCACACGCGATTTGCACAATTATCTTTGTACCCAATGTCTTCACCATACGTGGTTCACGTATTGTAGCACTGACGCGATCTAAGCCTGTAAAATAATAAACAAGTGATAACTATTATACTTTGACGATCAACATTGATTGCGAATATCATCGCATTGTGTTGTCTTGTTTCATCATGTAAGAAGCATGGTATATTATGGTATGTGATATTACCTAGCTGACCTTCCACATTACTACCCCAACTGAAAAGTTGTCCCCATTCGTTTACAACCAAAGTATGACTAGATCCACACGCTGCTTTTCTAAATGCAAGTGGATCTATACCACTTATTAGTTCTACATAAAATATCAGTATATTTTATTAGAGGTTAATTTAGACTTTGGTGATATCTATCTAGGTTTGTAAGAACTCACACTGCACCGTAAGTTTTTATTATACTCACGTAGTCTTTTCCTCCCTTTTTCTTGACCGAGTTGTCCATGATCGTTGTTACCACAGGAATATACTTGGCCTTCCTTGGTAACAGCTATAGTATAATTATCTCCACAAGCAACTAAAAACATGTTTTATCTTATAGAATCTTTTACACATCCCTCACACCCTTAAAGATTCTATACACATTAACTCTAACATTTATTTTCAAGTCTTACTTTGCTCAATTTCGTTAGCCTTCTCAAAATTTACTTCACGAGGAGTAAATATATTTTCATCCTCAATACCACCCAGCCCCAATTCTCCATGAATGGTACTGCCCCAACAAAACATTTTGTCGATTTCAAACTTTGGATACTTTGTCACTGAGTTAATCTTTTCTGCCAAATGGCGTTTTCCTGAATGTGTTTCCTGCGTTCATAGATATATATACTATGTAATATGTTATATTTGTATATGGGACAACATTTTTAGTCCAGTAAGTCTACTTGTAACAAATAATTAGTAACAATCAATGCTACACATTGATAAATAATCAAATAAGATCTCCATTCCGTTCTCATAAGAAAATGATGCAATAACGATAATCAGTTATAAAAAAAAAATATATACATATATATATATAACAAAGGATAAAACAAAGAGACATTGTTACTTTATAGTCAAATATTTTGAAGAGTAATCGGCTAAACGAACAAGATCGTTTGTTTGTGTTTGATATAATGTAAATTTCAGAAAATTTCATAAAATATATATATTTCAATATTAAGAAGAGAGGTGTTAGAGTATCACGTCGAGGCTAAGGACTGTGACAGTAACTAACCATATTTTTTCTATATCTCATAGCACAAGCGTCAGGCTTGCGGGCGGGACATGTTTTTTACGAGAAACGCGTGGTACGTCCTAAAAATAACACTTCTTTGTAGAACAGTACTTCTGGTAGATGACAGCGATTCCAATGTAGCATACAGTCACACGTGAATCGGTCTGAATAATAATCAAACGGCAAACCACGAGAAACAACGACATTTATCGCACTCTGTATATTGCATCGCGAACTTCGAAGCGTGACAAATTCCTTTTCCGGTGAATCGAAAATTTTACGCAAAACGCATATACGTCCTGGCTACGGCTGATGCGATGAATAATATGAAAAAAGTAATTTCTTTTTTTAATTTTATATTGCGTGTTGTGCGACTGAGAGGTTAAATCCGAGATTCGCGGAACGTTCTCGACAGTTAAACGTGTGTGATCTCTCGACGAATCGTTACTTTAACTGAATGATTAGGATAACGAGGAGGAAGTAGGGAAGATAGTTACTGATTTAATACCAGGATGTTGAAAACTTTTTCGTAGCAATATATATTCGCGAAAAACAAAAAAAAAACAAAATATATGTCATGATCGTCATGATTTTGTATCTACGAACTCAATCGTTCGCGGTCGTTCGAGACGATTGATTCGCGAACGTGTGATGACATTGCGCAAATGCAAATTATGCCGAGCGATCGGATTTTTCTTTCTTTTTTTCTACGAAAAGATATCCCTTGGCAGTAACATTGGTGTTTCCAACGGGAAAATTTTAAGCTTCGAGTATTACACAGGAAACGAGTTGGCAGAGGTAGAAACCACGATGACTCGTGGTTTTTCGTGGTCCGCGAGTTAATCGCGCACATGCATTTGTATATGCGCGCAGTTTTGCCCGAGAGTTAAACGACCAGGAAGAAATTGCAAAAATCTCAGATGGTCCAACTACTTGTCGTTCACCGTGTCATAAGAGACCTCAGCCTCGAAACGAACACATATCGAATCGTTGACTCGATGAGCAATAGAGCTTAGGTTATTAGCTGAGGATACGTCGCACGTCGAGGACAGTCCGATATCGTTTCGTGAGACCTTTGATCACGAAGGAAGAGAGAAAAAGTGTAATGTCTCGCTCGAGAATTATAAGACGCGATGCGACGCGGAAATCGTAATTCGTAGTAATTTGACTCGCTCGTTACTGACAGATCCAATCGTGACAGATACGTGAGTATCGCGTCTACTTGACTTACATTTTCGCTCGTCGATTTCGTTTCGTCAGATCGGAGTAACAATCGTCGTCGTTAGTACAGCGACTGACAGTCTTTTTTAGCGATATATATATATATATATATATAACGCGTATGTGTAATTTGGCCACACACAGAGAACCTGATTATTTATGTATATTTTTTCACAGTTGCAAGCTATGCGGTCGCAGTTGCGAAGTCGCGCGAGGAAGCCGTATAGCACAGGCTAGGGATAGACACATAGAAATCATAGAACTTTGTATCTCACGAACAAACGTAATAGCCTTTAACATTTACTAGGCTATCGTAATTTTTCGATCATACGCATTGTTTCTACATATTCGTGCATCGTGACTGGTGATTACTCGAGATAAAATAGTTGGTCTGTTCTTTTTAGCTGCACTGCGGAACTAGTGCGATAAGACAACTATATTTTTTCTCACTTTAACTTATTGCACCAGTTCAGTAGTGCAGCCAAAAGGAACAGACCAGAATCTTTTCCTTTTCCTTCACGTGAACTCGTGAAAAGTGAAAATTTTCTAATGCAAAAACATATGTGGAAATGTTTGCTTTTCATGAGTTTATGCTAGAGGAAAAGATTCATGACTGATGCCCAGCAGGTCCCTCCGTGACATCACGGATTATTGTTTGGACAGAGTAAAGGCCATCGCACACAAATGAACGTAAGACAGTAAAGAAACTGACCAATCACAAATTGAAAAATTCTGGTGATTTTTCGTCTAGTAAATCCGATTTGCGCGCGAGTTGTCGAGTGATCTCGCGATTGGTCAGTTTCTACAACGTGAACGTTGTCACTGAACGTGTCTTTGTAACATTCGTGGTTCATGTCCCTTTCTCTCTCCCCTTCCACCGCGGCCGCCGTCAAGACGGAGCGAACGAGCGTAACGTTAGCGTAGGTAGGGCGGACAGGCGGTGGCGGTGACGGCCATATTATCAGTGAGGTGTCAGTATTTTCCGAACGTGACGGGATTTTTGGGTGTGGATCGCACGGTTTCCTGTCTCGCTAAGGCTGTCGCGGGTATAGCGCGAGTGCGAGCGCGAGTGTCGGCAGGCCCGCCGTGGATGTTGCGCGACACACGTGTCACGGGATTTTCGGGAGCGTGCAAGCAGAATCGAGTGAGTATCTACTACACATCGAGTCGCGCTCGTCGTGCTCTCTGCTATCTCGTACGCGCTGCGCCGAATCGTTGCTCACTGGCTTGTCGCATAAGGCGCATAAGAGGGACAAAGAGAGAGAGAGAGAGCAGACAGCATCGGTCTCTCGACGGGATTGACGTCGAGCCGAAAAAGCCGGTTAGCGGTTCTCGCCTCTCGGCTCTCGGCTGGCGCGTCGATTGCGCCGACGTTGCTCCTGGCCCGGTGATGTCGCCTTATTTGCAGTTTAACCGCATCTACAGACGGCTTTCCTTCTTTCGCCTTATATTGTTATTCGGAACAAGTGTCCCGTAAAGAGACGAAAAATCAAAGTTGTTCAACTGCGAAACGACCAATTTAATGGACCAATAGTGATGTTGATCAGGCAAATTGTGCTCAACTTTATCTTTCCTTTTCTCTCTCTCTCTCTCTCTCTCTTTCTCTCTTTCTCTCTCTCTCTCTCATGCATGAGTTACAATTTTCGATATAGTTCTGGAAGAGACGGAGAATTAGAGAATTGCAAATGGATCCGCAGAATCAGTCGCGTTGCATAGATGTCAGTTTCATTGACTTTGTCAGCTTCGATTTCCTCTTCTCTCTTCCTGCATCGCTGTTCTTATTAATGTCAGCAGTGTGACTTGGAAAGAGACGAAGAGATACAAGTCGAATAATTAGATAACCAACTCGTATGTACTCTCATTTTGTATCGCGTCAACAGGACCTTTCTTTTCTGTTGAAGACAATGTTAGAGATTCTTCAATAATAGATACATTCCGGGAAATTTTCGCGCAAAACTTAAGAATATCAATTTATGTCTTGTTTAGAAAAAAAAAGACATAATGTCGCGCAAATTGGGAAATGGCGGGCAAACATTGGCCACCTTCGACATTCTCGACATAGAAGATCGAGTCACAGGCTATCGTTTGAGACGCGAAGGTTGCTCTCACTGTGGTATCTGGCATAATACGGCCGTGATCGCACGATTTAAAAGAGGGCGAAAAACAAGTAGAATTTTGTCGATCGGACAACTTTGCGCATCGATGTTCGGTCAGTGGTAAACTCTGATATTTTCTGTCGGTATTACGTATGTTACACTTGAAATTGTACAAAAAGAAGGGGGAAAAGAAAACGAGAAGTCGCGGTTATAGCGGTTATTTATCGAGGACTCTGCCGGTGCCGCTCGTTCTTGGCCATCTTGTACTCGCGACACGGCTTCTTGACCTATCGCTAGACCGTCGTATAGAGGTTACGTCGCGTCAAGGTATATACTCGTACTCGCTGTGCCCAGCGGCGTTTGCCGATCAGTCTCGCCGAGAGAGATCCTTGGATGCTCGTTTTCGCAGCACATGCGACGTTCAAATTCGATTCTCCTTCGGTTTTCACGTGCTGCTTACCGATATGACTCAAGGTTAGAAAGTTTTTTCCGACTAAAAATAAGGAAGATGTGAAAATTGTACAAATACATATAACATATAACACTACGAATTTAATCTTCGACTTATTTCAGAAATGAAATGATTGTGCTCACGAGATTATGATTATTATTCGAAGACGGTCGCATAACAAGGATCACCGTGGCAAATCATGCGGCTTCTTTCCACTTAGGAGCGGACAACTGTTGAGCGCAGTGCCATACCATGGTTGCTGTCAACGATTTATAAACCTCTCGTAATCGCAAACATACGGATAGAAAACCCGCGGCAGCAAACGGTATCCGTTTGAACGTGTTGAAAAGTTGTTGGTTATCTATCAATTTACTTCTATCAAGCAATAACATTTTACGTATTATATATTTTATACGCGCTGCAGTGAATTTGAAATTGATTATGAGATTAAACAATTGGTTGGCGGCGATCCATTGGCAACAATCTGTGATTAGAGCTCGTTAATGAACGACCTTGAGGAGGATAATTGGTTATTAATAGAGTTTATCGAGGACTCGGCTTCTCTCGTCGTTCTCATCGTACGTTTGATAGAAAAAACACTGTCTCATGTTGCTTTGCAATATGCTTGCTATGCAATTTTCGTATTGAGAATCTTTAAAATTAAAATCGTTAGAATCGAGTCACGCGTGGTAGACGCGCTCTTGAACGATGCTGGAGCAGAGACAAGTTTGTTGTTAAATGATCGACAATCTCCGGTATTGGATGAATCGACGACGACCGCGGGAAATGTAAAGAGAAGATAATCGTATCCAATGTTAAATGTTCATTTTTACTACGAGCGTATCGCACTAGTGACATTTCCTCGGATAGCAAGGACTCGTAGTTGTTTCCGTAGTTGTAATTACGTATAAGGAGACAGACATATTCTCTCTCTCTCTCTCTCTCTCTCTCTCTCTCTCTAGGGGAGAGGGAAGCACTATTTTTGCGATGAGGAGACCGACAAAAGTTGAACGAGATAGTCGCGGTTCAATGAACGTACGTGCCATGTGAGTCCTAGATAAAAGGGGAATGTTAGACAACGCACGCACAACGCAACGCAAGCAGGCACTCCTCGCTGCACTCTGGTGGATGTCTGCGGATGTCGGTCACGCGGATTTGCGCGGATCGTAACTCGATGCGACTCGCGCCTTTTCGCCGTCGTGTTTGTTTCTTCCATTTTTGCTCTCCCGATACGCATTTCCATGTTAAAGATTCAACGGAGGAGACGGTGGTTACGCGTCTCATGTAACGCCCCATAAACGTTTTTTATACCCGTACCCATGACCAACTATGGTCGACATACGTCTCTTGTTGAATCAGATGTGATTATTTGTGGTTTCGATCGCCGGTCGGAAGTTATACACACACCATTTTGTTCAACAATCTATTCAATATCTTAATAGCAACCTAATCTGTTGCTAATCTGTTAAATGACTAGAATCTTCAAAAGGCGCTTCAGTCACATGTGTCATGTCGTTGATATTGCTTTTGGTAAAGCGAAAGCATGAGGATTCTGGAGAAATTTAAGAAATAACATTTAGAAAGCAATTTTTGAATCTGTGTTTGGCGATTATTCCTACCTCAAGAATTAATTTTTAATTCTTGTACATTGTTATGTTTGTGTTTCAGAGAGATAGTTCTACTGTTTAGTACGAGAAAACACAGCTGCCACGATGCCGAAATCGGTATGTATTTTCTTTATTATTCGGAACAGAATTGACCCCTTCCCCCATGCTCTATCTTCGCCGGAAACAGTCCTACATTTATGTTAAAATGCTACTCTTTTTCTTCTTTTTTTTTTTTTAATTGAAAATTGTAAATTGAAGCATGTATCGTTAAAAGGGGTAACTGCACTTTTCCGAATGCATTTTTCAGATTTCACGATTTGCAATTTTACTCTGGCAACGGTCGGTGTACGATAAGATAATACATATTTGTTATTACAAAAGAAACAAACATGAATGATTTGCGGCATTTATAGGTAATGAGAAGTTAACCCGATTCGAGGAAAAACAAAATCATTCCAATTATGATAATTTTTGATTTCTGATGCTACAGTTGTTGTTTGCCGCTTTTTTTATTTTATTTGTCACAAATAAATCAGTTGGTATATGTTAAAATGATTCAATCATATGGGATAAGTTGATGTACTTTGCGCTTAACACTCGAAAGGGAGACACTGAGGAAGGATGCGTATATTCTTTTATCTCGCGAGGTAAAGCAATGAATATAATATGGAAAATGTGTTCTATTCTTGGACACGGATGCTACGTCTTTGAGACGTTACTTTTTACGAACATTACGTAACATTACATAAGGTGATATCTTTTATTATTGGAATTGGTGGTAACGCGAACACTTGCGCACAGAAACGAAATATGCTGTTACGCTGTTACGCGACGTGTGTATTGATTGCGGCACTTTCCGTCGTATTTCATTTGTTTATCTGTTTATTTTTTACGGGAAAGAAATTGTAGTTGAAGCTATTTCTGAAACGAGAGAAATACATCTATCAGATCATTCGAATCGTTTCAGCATTAGAAGTACAACCTAACTTAATCTGATATAATCCAACGGATTATCGAAACTTGTCGCATTTTATTTTTCTAGTTCGCGCACGCGACAACTATTTTCGCATTTCTCATCGTTTACCGATATTGCTGACAGCGTGAAGAATGCTCTGATATTGCATATATCGCAATGCGAAAGGTACCGGTCTTTAGACACAGTTGAAGTCCGAAGACAAATATTCGCCTTCTGCCAACTCCGAACGAAAAGTTCTCTTCGTAAAAATGAAGTTTTTTGTTTTTTTCTTTCTCCTTTTTGCAAATTACCGTTGAGGCTGCGGAACTCGTTGTACGTACTCGTTGGCCGATAATCTTTTTAAACTTTTACTCTTTCAGTTTATTGTTTTTTTTTTTTCTTTTTTTCAGTACAATTGTTCAGTAACCTTAGATTTCCTGATTAGATTTGTATGCTGATTAGTTCCGCGTGTATCCCCTACGTTGCTCTATATTGATAAATTTCACATGAATGGCGTAAATCTTTGGGTGGAAATCGACTATGTTTTATGCTCTTTCAACGGTACGTGCGTCAGCTATAATCAGATTCAGATATAAGAGCGCAAGTAAAAAACGCAAAGTTACGCAATAAAATTAACATGCGCGCATGGTTGCAACGGTTGCGCGCGTGCACGCCGTTTCCGCCAATCGGATGATACCGAGCGCGCCCGCCAGTTTTCAAAAAACCTTAATCGCCGCCGACGTTACGTGGGCCTCAGGCGGGGTCGCTTCCTTCCGCGCAGCCGCTATCGTAGCGCGTGATTGGTGGACACGCGGCGCAGACCGGCTTCTTCACGTGACCGCGTAACGCGCTCTGCACGTAGTGGGGGAAGCCGTTGCACCGTTGCGTGTCGCCTCGCTTCGCGCGTTTTCGCCGGAACAGCGATTGAAGGGGGAAAGGACGCAGCCGGTTGCATCCGCTGTTCGGCCCATTGTCTAGCTCGAAACCGGCGAAGGTCGACTGCGTTTGCTCGCTCGCTCGCTCGCACTTACGTACGCACGAACGATCAGAGTTAAATTTTGCCGCAAGTGTTACCACCGAACGCGATCCATCCTCCCTGTTGTGTCCCGTCGTGTCGTGTCGTGTCGTGTCGCGTCGCGTCGCGGTGCGCGTCCCCGGCCTGGCGTCTGAAATTCGTTCGCGGTGTATTCGCCAAACGGTCGATCGCGTCGCGTTTTACCGGTAGTATCCTCTGGCTTTGTGTTGAACGAATCTCGTAGACATGGTTGCCGGCGCCAAGATGGTAAGCCAATCGTTAGCGGTGGAACTTGATTTTTTGCATTTTCGATACGTTGAGGAGATTGCGAGATGCAAATTCAACAAGTCACTTGCCTTTAAAATGATATTTATTCCCTTGCTTCTGTACAAATCTTGCGAGATATTTATTAGAGTGGTGTGGTAAATCCATTGGTAAATCTGTGAAGGAAGAATACACGAGTTCATCGAAAAAGTACATACAAGCAGCTCGGCGTTATTAGGCGTTCTTTACGCGAATAAATTCGCGTTACTTGACGGCGCCATAATTTTTGCATGTTTTGTGTCGCGAAGATGAACGTGAGGGTGACGACGATGGACGCCGAGCTGGAGTTCGCGATCCAGCAGACGACCACCGGGAAGCAGTTGTTCGACCAGGTCGTGAAGACGATCGGACTACGCGAAGTATGGTTCTTTGGTCTCCAGTATACCGACAATAAGGGTGATCTCACTTGGATCAAACTCTACAAGAAGGTAGGATACTTGCGCATTTGTCCTGTACGCTTTATCCCGTTTTCCATTTATTCGACGCCTCGTATAATCTTCCCTCTGATTTCTGTTCACTCGACACATTTATTGGCGTTTTATTAAAGTATACGCGTATAAACTCACTGTATTTCGTACAAGCGATATTCGGATAGAACATTTATTCGCGACGAATATTCGGCCGATCATGAAAACTTTGCGTTAATTTGATGGCGGTAGCTTTAGAAGCGCGGTATCTTCGCTGAAAGCAAAATCCCATCTTGATCCCCCTGTTATCCGCGCGTGTTATTTGAAATTTGTGGATGAAGAAGAGACAGATCGCCGAAATGTTAATACTAGTCTGGCAATGTGGCAATCACTCAAACGGAGTTTGTAGAGTAGTTGGCTTTTAATTAAATTGAAGTTCTACGCTACGATAGAATTGTCACTTTGGAATGTAGTAGTGATGCCTCGTGTTGATTGGAAAAGTAGATATAGCTGTAGAAGTTAAAGCGCAAAATCTAAAATGTAAGTAAATGACGATTGATCTAAAAGCACAGAAAGAGGAGAAGGAGACAAAGTGTATTGAGAGGGTTTTGTAAACCAAGGAAACATATGTTAGAGATAAAAGCAACAAATCGTTCATGGAAACAATACGAAACTTGTGTGACTCTGAGCTGCTTCACTTCACGAGCTGCTAATTTAGGCTCGTTTTATCGTCAATTTGAAATCTAGTTCTGGGGATAGCTTTCAGTGGATTAACTTTATAGTCGGCTTCGAATAAAATATTTACATAAAATTTTCGTGCCGTATAGTGCGAAGTATTAATATATTAATAAAATTTGCGCATCTTCACGATCGATCGTGTGCAATCAGATTTACGCTTACGCTCATGTAGAGTATATGGAATTAATGCACGAAGTAACAGTAATTGCCGACTTCCTAAGGAATTGCAATAATGTGTGAAGGGTTCCAAATAGCGAGCCAATGGCGAAGTACATTGCGTCGATTCACACGAAACCTGGTTTTACCTGTTTTACTGATGACATGACAATCGCAAGACTTTCCGGAATGGTATTTTTTTTTCTTTTTTTTTTCTAATTTCTTTTAATCATATGCATATTAGGATGTATTTCGCACGATCCACGAGACAGAGTTTTTTGCAGCCACACTATTAGCTGCCAGAGATAAAGAATTCTTGGTTTCTCAGATCTCAGTTCGTCGGTGACAAACGTCGGTGCTGACGTCATCTGCTTTCAAGTGCGAGACACGTGTTCTTACATTTCTTTTTTTGACCGCGATATGCGGTTTTTCTGGCGATCCTTATTTCCAGCAGACGTCACGTCTGCTCGCACGACTATCTGTCTCGATAACGTTGAAACCACTTTTTGTTTTGAAAATCATGAAGCGTTTCTGAATCTTTCGATCATCTTAAACAGTACTTCTCGAGTGTTCGTTCTCGAGTCTAAATACATTAAAATTATTCGGCGATTGTTCGATATGAACAATTTTCGAGTATCGCGGCTTGATCGGAAACAGGGACTACTGATGCATATGAAATTGCCTTTGAGAAACTCGAAACCTGTTTCCCCAAATTGCACCTGTAGATGTGCACAAGTCAGCGTGATATGGAAAATTTGGTATTTGATCGTTGACTACACTAGAAGACTACACTCGTTCGTTTTTTTATCGTTTCTTTGTTATATATCATTTTCTCCTCGAGGAAGGTTGCAAAATTACACATGTTACGCGTGAATCACGCGAGGAGGTTTCACACATTGAGGAAACATCTCTCAGAAATTAACAATTTTGCTGCAAAATGACGATCGTGAAATTGAATAATCGGTAATCAATAGTTAGCGCTCGAGGAGGAGTTAGCGTGCATCATTCGGTTTTACTACCTGCTCGCAATCAATTGCGCGACTTGAATTTTCGAATCCGAGTACAGTTACTCGTAGACCAGTTACTCGCAGGTAGACGCTGCTTTATCGGCTTTCACCGGCTGGTTAGCGGCAGCGACGCGCCTTCACCTTGACACAGTCGCCGCTTCTCGCTCGACTAGTCGTCTTTTTCAGCAGGTCGTTGGTTTTCTCGTCCTCGGCGACAGTTTAACCCGTTTTCCAGATTTCTCGTTCCGCTTCCCTCAGATGTGCTCTTTTTGCAGACGTTCAAACGTCTTTGGCAGGAAAACATTCCGTGTCGGGAAAAACCGGCGCGACAGGTGTTTGCCAGACTTGCCAGGTGAAAATTGCCATGATTGAACACAGACAAACTTCTAACCGATACCGGCACCTGAACAACAGCTAGCTTAGTAGCGACAGTCGAATCAGCAGGCGGCACAACCCCGCGTCTGTTTCGGCTGAATTTGGCGCAGCTGCAAGTCGTAGAAGCTATTTTATTTTTATGCGATAACAACGTGTTATTCATTGTATATTGCACTTTAGAATGCACTTGGATACGTGTCGTTAGTGCAGCACACTTGTACGATAAGTAAAAACATCGGAGCTAGATTCCAACGCATCTGAATAGCTGCTAGAGAACAAAGGTGAGAAAGAATACACAGGTTGATGTGTTTAGACGAGAGAGAGAGAGAGAGAGAGAGAGAGAGAGAGAGAGAGAGAGAGAGAGAGAGAGAGAGAGAGATATGTATCTGCATTCACTTATCCCGACTCACATCATCCGCAATGGGAAAGTGACTTCAAAATGAATATCAAGTACAGTCGTTGCGGTAGATCGATATTAATTTTTGTGCGAGAGTAATGCGTTTGTGAAATTTTCCGTTAATGATGGAACGATTGCACGCAGCCGGAAAGTGCGATAGCGAGGGTGGTGAAGAAGGAAGTGAAAAAGAAAGTTCGGAAATTGAGAGGCTACTCGGACTCGGATACGGACGACGACGAGTTTGACGACGGTCTGGTAAGAGCCCGAAAAGATACTATCTTTCCGCTCCCCGAAATTCGTCCTCATATGAGAAAAGTTGTGGGATCGGGAGGCATTCTCATTCCGGGAAACAATGACTAGCGGTTAGTAGTTGGTGATGCGTATGGTGACTTATCCGTGTACCGTCTTTTAAAAGAGCGGTAGTCTCTGGGAAGAAATCCAGACGATTATAAAACGCGATGCGATGCTAAATTGTCCATCTATCGGCACGATTCTGTTGCTCTTTTCTTCTTCTCAGAGAAAATATTACCTGGAAAATGACGAGTCTCTATTGGAGAAAAAACAAAGAAAAAAGGGGGAAACGGAGAAAGAAGGCGCTAATACATGTCTGGAGACAGATGGAGTGATGCGCAAATACGTAACAAAGGTCGTCCTCGTGTAAGACGTGTAAAAAGCGGATTTTCTTCGGACACTGCTTCCATTCCATGATGCTCTCATCTCGGGAAGAAGATAATGTACCGTTGTCCGTTGAATGGACCGCTTGGCGAGTCTCTTTGGCAAGAAGAGATCAGAGATCTCTTAAAAGCAGGGAGGCGGCGCATCGAGATTGTCTTCGTAGAAGCAAGGCGTTTATCGTGTCGCAGATGCGCGATAAGGGAGAGAAACGGGAGAGGGGGAAAGCCGCGCTCATTGTCCGATACGCGCGCGCGATACCGCTCATTAAACGATTCAATCGAGCGTCAATTACGTCAGTTGTATGAAAATACCATTCAATGAGTCACTCGGGGGAAACGCCTAAGGAATTTCTTAGCGCAAGAAAGCCCGAGGAGAATCTCTTTCTCTTTGTCCGTCGCGGAGAGGAAACTGTTAGCGTCCTTTTATCTCCGTCGTTTTACAATCAAATCTGGAAGCTGTCGTGACTGCTGCATGAAACCACTTGCACGCGTTGCCCTAATTCGCGACGCGAAATCGTTGATTATTCCGCTCGCTTTTCTCTCGAGTCTCCTCACTGGTGGTGCGTCACTTTCTCCCAATTGAGATTCGTATTAACCCTTTAACTCGAGGTCGACTCTCTCGCGTGAGCGTTTGTCCAGCGCGATACGCTTGTTGAGATTACGTTACGTGCGTTTTTGTCATCGTCCAAACAAGCGAGCTTCTCGCACAGTAAGATATCACTGCGTATTACATCGGAGAAGAGAGATACATGTACACCCATATAGGGAATATTCAAGGAAGCATCACGACCAGTGACACGCGAATAGATCGTCACGTTTATTAATACGCGATATGGAGCGATGACGCGCGTATCGGTACCTAAGACGCAAAAATATGGAATATTGGAATTTTGTGATGGCTAGTAGTGTGACTCGTGAGGTACGGCTAATGTTTCTTCTAATCGTTCCTAACCTGAGAGTATACACTTCGCAATTAACCGTGCAATGAAATTTATCGCTGATTGAGTCATAATTTGTTATTGTGCCTGTGAGGCACGCGTGAGCGTGCATTAATGTGATTCAGACATGGATTAGCAGCACGGGGATTTTTCTGTGAAATGCAAACAGTTATCATCCTTTCGTCTCTCTCGTAAACTTATTAGTATCTACCGGAAGAAGCGGAATCTATCGAGAGATACGATCGTGTATGCACCAGAAGCGAGTCTGAGATGAAGAAAAGAAAGTTGAAGAACATTGGCTTTACTTACGGAAATGGGAGAGTATCGGTTTAAAGGAAAAGGGGCGTCGTGACAGAAGCGTGACAGAAGTAAGAAAATGCGATTGAGCGTGAGATCGATGACGAAGTCTGTTTATTTTCACGATAAAACAAACGCGGCGACTCATGAAGAAATCAAGTCGGAAGAATTCTCAGTGTCCTCCCAGTGTCCTTTTCTCGGCTCCCTTGTCAAAGCATGTATGAACAACATCTAATTTTACTTGTCGCGCTAGTGTCTAAATTGTCAGAACTGTACGATAAAGGCGTCGCCTTTATATCAAACTCGTGTTGAAGAAGGCGATGCTTCGACTCAAGGACTCCGCTCCAGTCTGGTGCGGTCGCGGCGGGGATGCTTGATCATTGGCGCACCGCCGCGCTGCTCCGTAACAGGTTACAGGTCGAAAAAGGCAATTCACACAGATGCGGACTGCAGACTGTTACGTAACACGTTACAGGATCTAGCAACCTGACACATTGCTTTCCGCGTGTCATTCTGCTCTCTTCTTCGCTCTCGTCTCACGCGGATCGAGATTGCATTGTGACTACCGAGGTGACCACGGATGAGGATTAACTTGGGTCAAGACTGAACCGGTTTCTCGTTTTCTAACTCTTTCGGGAATGTAAAGGATGCTTAAATTATGATATAAAACATTTTTTAAGCGGTATTCGTTTAGGCGGAAAGTTTGTAGCTGAAGTTTCTCGGTTATTTTTTTACAGGTGGAATCCACCTGTAAAAGATGTCATTTTATCGGGAGTTTTTATTTTATTCTCGACTCTTGAAATAACTTTGATTTGATTTGCAAGAAATCATGAATTATGAATTTCCTTTTTACTTGTCTATTTTTAACGACAGACTTTCCGCTTACGAGACGAAATCTATCTATCTATTGTCGTGTAAAAAAGACGCTATATACTGCCGAAAATTAAAAATCACGTTAAATATAAAATACAAGCCGGCTCGAATCGAGTAAAATTTCCTTGCGTGCGCGCGTGACGCAGTCCTTAAAATTATTGTTGCCTGTGCATCGTATCACACAGGTAATATCCCTCTCGCTTGATGGTAAATCTGATGCACAGTAATTTCAAGGACGTGTTCATTGCTGAGATACGCGGGATGGTTCATACGCATACTTTAACTTTACCATATTTTTATTCTTTGAACGCATGCCAACCGCAATACTAACAACTGGAAGAGTGGACTTTCATTCTTGTCTAGGGTAAGTTGTGAGTCGGATTAGCGCGTAAAGCATAAAAGATATGTCGCATGCTGCCGACAAATGATGCATGTTTAGCGACAGAAGTTATTCTCGTATCATATAATTTTTTCCAAACTACCTTATACATACGTACATACGAACGAACATACGAGCGAGTGAGCGTTGACTGTAGCGACATGTATTTTTCCTGCAAATGTAGATACCGCATTCGCAGTGAAAAACGGTATGTGGTATGATGTATACGTCACGAATACGACTCCGCCTTAACGTATCGATATAGAAACAGCAATAACAAATCATATGGTATTTGATAAGAAGGCAATTTTACGCCGTTACATCATGATTATGATCTTGTTTGATCGTGACCGGTGATTTTTTAAATAGCATGTTTGGAGTGTATATTTAATGCAAGACGTGAATCTACGATTCGTTTATTCGCGAGAAACTGCATCTCGGTTGAAAGGGGCGTATAAATTGTATAATATAGCGTTATACGATAATCTCCCCCCTCCCTTCCTTTCTTATGCTGCACATACGGTCGTTGAAAGGCGTATCTACTGTCACAGTTTTGTAGTGATATATGATTTGACTTGTATTATTCTAATGGTACATTTGCCTTTTATTTATTAAACACGGAAACTATATTGGCTGTAAAAGCAATATTGTGACGTACGCAAATAATTACAGGTGGTTCCATGTGGTCTCCAAAGAATCTGCCACGTAAGATCACGAGGATTCTTCGTTTGTTACATTTCATTCTTCAACAAATTCTTACCTTAGCGACCGGTATTTTAAATCATTGGATAAAATAAAAGCGGATGCCGTCGATGATATTTATTTTTCTTGTACACGGCAATACAAAATTTGACGGCATATTATGTAGTAGGGGCTCTTGATAGCATACTTGCTCGAAAGTTTTCGCAATTGATTTAGTAGCAACATTTGCTGTCTTTATCGCTTTATTAATCAATTTAGAAACAATATAAATCCTTAATAGATGTAATTTATTTGGTCACTTATTCGTATCATTATCATCTGCACATATGTTATCCTTTGTGTTTAGTTTTTATTTCGTATCGATTGGTCTTGAAGTGGTCGGAATAAACTATATAAGTAGCTGTACATATTTTTTTGAAACATTATTAACCACTGCATGTACATGAGATCTTTGTAAAATAATATAAATTGTATAAATAGTCGATTACACTTTGGCAGTTGTCAGAAGGAGCGCAAAGGCCACAGAGCAGTAAAGAAAGATTGTAGTTTAATGTAAATCTGGGTGTAATAATATTTAATCTAACATAATATTATCTGCTGATATTGCCTTCGAGATATGACGAGGAATGCATCGTGCGACATTGTGTCGCTGCGATAACTGCTAGAAATGTCTTTAATGTTTATCGGGAACGGTTCAGATACACTGTTTCATGCAATATTTTCTGCTCGTCGCTGATTACAGATAAGTAAATCTACAGCGAACGCAAGTAGCATAAACGCTTGCTTGAAGAACCGACTATCGTCATGACGTAATTTCTCTCAGTGATATCTGGATAAGATACGCGCGCGCGTACTTCCACAGGAATGGATAATAAGAATATGACTAAAGGCAAATGCATTTACCGCGTATAAAATTGTTGGCTAAAATACCTTTGCTTTAAGTATGTCGATTTTCTACTTAACTTTCGTGATATTTATCATTTCGAGTGTCGTTAGGGTAATGTATTATCGACTGTATCACAACCACGATTCGATATATATGAAATGCTCACACCCTCTAAATGATTACAAACTCCACTTATCGAGGCGAGGCGAGATCAGCAAGGGAACATTTTATCGATAACATACACTCAATTATTAAATAGAAACTATCACACACTAGATATTTTCATTCTCGTTACATTAATAATGTAGTAGTATTGTCGCATTTTTTGTCGTTTTACTTCTTAAAAAGTTCCCAACACTTCTCGGTGCAAAGAATAAATATATCAGATGTTTAAACTTGGTGTTCAGAAGCTAGCTCGAGCTAGGAGCAACACTCAACTTCTTTCGCAACTGCCAAATGTATGTATTTACTAAAGCACAAAGACACGATAAGAGGGCACATATATCCTCGCCACAGAGCGTTGACGAGATTATAATTTTATAAGAGAACGAATGTATCTTCTTTCTCGATAGCAGAGGAAAGATTTCATCAACATGGTAATGTAACAAAATCCCAAGAGATATTGAGGACTGCGGAGGAACCGCACAGAGTATAATATATATTAAAACATGTATATTAATATACATGTCAATGTATATGTCTTCAGTACATCACATTTCCTTTGGTGAAGAAAAAATATATCTTATTAATATTTCACAGCTTATATTTGTTCTCACATGTTGTTGTCTCTTTGAATCTTACGTCGCGAGAATTATTCGTTCGCATGTTCATATGTCATCTCACAACGTAAAACGCAACTGTAAAACGCTGCACGCTTTTACACGTTAAGCGTCACTGTGACCCTCACTCAAAGAACAGAGGGAACGGTTGGAGCAAGGTCACTTATCTTTTAAACGTTTGCAGGTGATGAACCAGGAGGTCAAGAAAGAAACTCCACTGCAGTTCAAGTTCCGTGCAAAGTTCTATCCCGAGGATGTCGCCGAGGAACTCATACAGGATATTACTCTTCGACTTTTCTATCTTCAGGTGAAAGAAGAAGAGCCATTTGTGTAACTTCCATGTTACGTTACTGATCTCAGCTCGCAATGTTCAATTCGCTGTTTCAATTCCCGAACACCTCTTCAAATTTGAAATGTCGGATTGATGTGAATACGTGAAAAATATTTGTGTATTTACGTATTTGTGTATTTACGATTTATAGGTCTATTGGTGCTCTAAAATAAGTAATCAATCGATATCACGTTTCGGATGGTTGTAGGTGAAGAATGCTATCCTCACGGATGAGATATACTGTCCACCGGAAACGTCCGTCTTATTGGCTTCGTACGCTGTCCAGGCGAGACACGGTGACTATCAGAAGGGTAGTCACCCCGCTGGTTTCCTGGCAAACGATCGGCTGTTGCCGCAGCGTGTCGTGGATCAGCATAAGATGAGCAAGGAAGAATGGGATAGTTCAATCACGAATTGGTGGCAGGAGCATCGTGGCATGTTGCGGGAGGATGCCATGATGGAATATCTGAAAATTGCTCAGGTATCTGTTCAAGTAGCACACAAGTTCAAGTAGTACAGAGAGCGTAAATCTAAGATGTAGAGGGCGGCGAAGTCTTTCAGGAACGAGCGACAAGTATTTGAACTGATGTTGATGCGGTATTGCGAATGATATATAAATGGCGAATCGATATTTGTGCTAATTACAATAGAATAAGATATAACATCGAAATAAGTATACTAAATGTTATATATATATTTTTTTATATTTATTTCTATAAATGTTATACTTTTTTTTTTATATGTTATGTATAGATTGTCCTCCCCCCCCCTCTCTCTCTCTCTCTCTCTCTCTCTCTCTCTCTCTCTCTCTCTTTCTCATACACATACACACACATATTCACTCTCACTCAACAGAGTCGCCGACAAATCCGTCTGACAAATTGTGTTTGTTTGTTTAAACTTTTCTGAATTCGTCATTTTACGCAATCTGTGCTCTTCCTGCGACTGCCGTGTGCCGCCGTATTCGGCGGCTGTTCGCATAATCTTCGATTATCACTCTGTTTAACAAATACACCAAGCGGTATATTTGAATCAATCTTCCGGAGAACATTACGGGCTCGATTTTTCGACTGGAAAATATTCTATTGCACGGAAGGTCGAGACCACTTATTGCCACTCGGATTGGTGTCACTGGTATCGTTGTAGTATTTTCCTTTGTTTTTTATTTTCCGTAGGACTTAGAGATGTATGGTGTGAATTACTTTGAAATTCGCAACAAGAAGGGCACAGACCTTTGGTTGGGTGTGGATGCTTTAGGTTTGAACATCTACGAGAAGGACGATAAGCTTACGCCGAAAATCGGTTTCCCTTGGTCCGAGATACGGAATATCTCGTTCAACGATAAGAAGTTCATAATCAAGCCGATCGACAAGAAGGCGCCGGACTTTGTATTTTTCGCCACCAGAGTCAAGATTAACAAGAGAATCCTCGCGCTATGCATGGGCAATCACGAGCTCTACATGCGCAGACGTAAGCCGGACACGATCGACGTGCAGCAGATGAAGGTACGATATTACGTTAAATGGCATTTATGTTACGGTAAGTGCAAAATCTGGTAAAACTGAAGTATTCGTGCGTTTGCTTATCTTAAGTACGTAAGCTTATGTAACATATTTGACACCGTTTTACGTAATCGTCATATAGTACATTGGATTTTTTACGCAAAGCTGATTATGTTGGATTATGTTGGATAGCGTTTTAGCGGCACCATTTTAGCGGCGCGTTTGTACAATACAACAAATATTCGATATTATTAGCATTTATCTCAGTTAATTTATAACTAATAAAGGTATTGATTAATGCATATCTTACTTTGGAGAGAATTATCAGGATAGAAATTACGATAGATTTTCTATTTTAGGCTCAAGCAAGAGACGAAAAAATAGCGAAACAGCAACAGAGAGAGAAACTGCAATTGGAAATAGCCGCTCGAGAGCGCGCCGAGAAGAAACAGCAAGAATACGAAGAGAGGCTAAGAAATATGGCGGAAGAAATGGACAGGCGGCAAGCCGAGCTGAACGAAGCTCAGGAAATGATTCGGCGCTTGGAAGAACAGTTGAAGCAGTTGCAGGCTGCCAAGGAAGAGTTAGAAAATCGCCAGAAGGTGAGAAAATGCTAGCTGATCCTAGTTATAATGATGTAGTTGAGAAACTACCAAACGGGGTATAAGATGCAAGTTTTTTTTCTTTCCTCTCTCTCTCTCTCTCTCTCTCTCTCTCTCTCTCTCTCTCTCTCTCTCTCTCTCTCTCTCTCTCTTTCTCTCATCTTTTTTTATCATTTTTTATCACTTTTTAAATTTTTAGCGTATCTGTCGGCGGCGCTATCGTTCAAATTAACACATGCATCTATACACACACACACAAGTACAGTTTCTTCATCATACGCGTATTTATTCGTAGGAATTGACGGCAATGATGGAAAAGTTGGAACTCTCGCACGAGATGGAGGCTGCGGAACGCGCCAAACTCGAACAGGAGATTAGGGCTAAGCAGGAGGAAGTGCAACGTATACAATCTGAAGTGGAAGCAAAGGATGCGGAAGCTAGGAGATTACAGGCCGAGTTCGAAGCGGCCAAGTACGAATGATTTTTTCCTCCTATTTTTTTAAGTATGTATACAGTTAAGACAGTCGGAAAATAATTGCACGTTACTGTTGTCAGGTTGAGACAAGAGGAAGCTGACCGAGCGTATCAGGCCAGTACAACCCCGCATCATCATCATGTCGAGGAAAACGAAGAAGGTGAGGAGGAAGGCGAGGACGAAGTTCCTCAAGGAGACGTTACCAAGGACCTTGCGACTGACGAATCGATAATTGATCCTGTCGAAGAGCGACGCACTTTAGCCGAGAGAAACGAACGTCTTCACGATCAACTGAAGGTTTGATTTTTTTTCTCAAGAAATTCAAGAAATAAATTACAGCCTATAAGAATCAACATAGAATTTTGGCTGTGAATTGTTTATTTAATATATTTATGATTATCGTGAGTTGTGCGTACAGGTTTTTTAATATTTATATTTGTCCGTGTTGTTTTTGAATTTTTGCAACAAAGTATATTTATTTTAAAGTTAGTTTAAACTACAGAGAGACAAATGTCTTAGACGTCGGAGACGTTTATACGTTACATTGTAATAGAATATTTCGTTTTGCAGGCATTGAAGCAGGACCTCGCCCAATCGCGTGACGAATCCAAGGAAACGGTGATGGATAAGATCCATAGGGAAAATGTGCGCCAAGGCCGCGACAAGTACAAAACCCTTCGTGAGATCCGCAAGGGCAACACTAAGCGTCGCGTTGATCAGTTCGAAAACATGTAAATTATAACGTGCATTTATTCGCTTACTTTGTTCACGCTCTTTCCTACCTTCAAGTTTCTCATTTGACTTTGCGTAAGCGGGGAATTGCAGTGTAATGATACAAGAAATACATGAGAAAAAGTGACAGGGGGAGGGAGAGGGAGAAAGAGAGGGTGGGAGGGGGAGAGGAAGGAAGGGAGGGAGGGAGGGAGGGAAGAAGATGGAGAAGCAGAGAGAGGTATAGATTCTACGATCGATGTATAAAACGAATCGTCTTGAATACACATATTTCCAATTAACTTACATAAGCTTTTTCCAATCATCGACGCGGAGTAACACCGTATGTAAAATCGCGTATGGAGAATTGTGAGTGATAATTTGATGTTAGCTCGATGATGACTCTATACTCTCACTCAATCGATAATCAAAGCTCTCACACGATTGGCGAGAAACGCGACGAAAAGCGAGCGACTCGCGCAGTCTTCCAGATATGCTTCCACGTTAATTGGTGTCGCGCGATTGGCCACATCGGGAAATCGTCACGTGTGCATGTCTTACGCAACGCGAGCAACTTGCTAATTTTGCGCAGGTACGTTTTGCCCGTGAAAGCGATGATTTGCCTACTTTGGTTGTTGATCCACCGACTATTTGGAAATAGTTTCTCGAATATCGATGTTATTCTACTATTTTTGGGCTTCGAAGTAACCTAACTGTGCGATATCATGATGTTTTGCCTTTTCGAAGGCAAATATGTTGCCTTTTCTCGCTGAAATAGCAAGAAAATTGCGATATTGAGAAAAACCAACTCGTGATCGTGTTACTTAACCCCTTCTCGATGTGAATGACATCTCGAAATCGAGATGTCAGTATTGTCTTGTTTCACAAGTATTACTGCCGGTTATTTTTATTCGAGTCGCGAGACGTCGATCTTCATCGCTGATTACCCGATGCCCGTCGTCGTGTATTGTCCGTCCTCGGTATAAGGATTCGCCCTAGATCTTCAATACTAGCCACCTTGCATTACCGTTACCACCACTCATATCTCGGATCGATGCCTCGCGACAGTAGGCTCTCACTAGCCGCGGTCGTTACCCGTTGACGGACGGTTCTTTATTTCTTTCCTTTTTTTTTTTTTTCTTTTTCTCTAGTTGTACGCTTAATTCGGGCCATATTTGTAGATTGGGAGGGTATGTTGAGCAGTCGCTTGCGAAAGTCGTCAGCCGGGCCTATCCGCGAAGCGACATCCAACAGTATCGATGATTCGTAAGTCATTTACGATCATCGGCCATAGGAGGAGTCGATGGTGCACATCGTAGCACATGGTTTATATCGTAGCGAGTTAGGTAGAAATTTAGGCGTAATTCATTCGGAGTTCGTATTGGGCGGGCAGCGACTGTTTCACAGGGGAACTTCGCGACGTTCCATTTATTTTTCGTGTTAATGCTACGCGTTAAAGATCCGATTGAGGAAAAAAGAAAGTTATTCGCGATTAGGAATATTATAATTATATATTTATAAATAAATATCTCTGTCTATACGTCGTGAAAGTTGTTCGATAGGTTTTGGTTGCAATCAGTCGTTGAATTGACTACACTTTCAAGTTTTTAAGTATACCACTTTTTACACGAACAGCACAAGTTCGTCGCAAAAGTTTTGCAAAAGAATAGACGAGTTGCGTGTCGCGATTGTTCTCTTGTACACCATCCACGAATCACTACAGCGCAGGCTATATTTCTTCAGATAGTAAGAATTAGCGATTCGACGAGTATGATCCATTTGCTTGCTGCCGATAAGACCGACTACCGACTATTTTCGTACAAGCGAATTTCGATAAACACACTAGCGATTTTATATTAAACACACTCGTGGCCTTTATTGATATATACATACATACATACATACATATATATATATATATATATATATACATACGTACGTACATTACATATATATATATATATAATATATGTATGTATATATATATATATGTATATCGAAGAATACTATAGGTAATACTATATATATAATATTATATATAGTAATATACGACATTGTAGCAAAGAGACACTCAAGGATATCGTGCGGTTCTTTGTCTTGCACACCTCCCACGTAAGATTCAATCACGCGTTTCTTCTGAATAAATTGATAAACAGGATTTCCAAAAGAATGAGCAAACGTGTGCGAGAGAGAGAGAGAGAGAGAGAGAGAGAGAGAGAGAGAGAGAGAGAGAGAGAGAGAGAGAGAGAGAGAGAGAGAGAATGCGACAGGCAGATAATCGACTGTATGAAAAACCGATTGAGAGAAAAAGAGAAATGCTATGGTCTAGTATGACGCTATTGTAAGTTTCAAAATTTTATCACTTTAAGAAAGTATTGCGCAACGAAATTCGAAGTCAAATATTTGGATATACGTGTAACTACAAAGCACTATCAATTTTTATTGACGAAATGCAAACAAAGAGCGATAATAAGATACGAGGGTGTAAACTTCATACGAAAGCAGAATCGCGAAATAACGTAAACGATCATCAGATGAGAGTCCGTGCTTTGCTACATTTAATGTCATCACCCGCACGTTACGATAATATACGAAGAAGCAAGAAGGAAAAAATAGGAGTATATTTAATAACAATAGATATTTTTTGATTATATTTAATATTAAAAAATTTACAAATTATTAGTGTTATTGTATTATTAATATTAATATTTACAATTTAGTAGCGTTATTATTTTATTATTATCATTACTATCATCATTGTCGTCATCGCCGCCATCGTTATCACCATCATCATCATCATCATCGTCATTATTATTATGGAGATAACGTTGAATGAAAACTAAAGCAAAGCATTTTATAGTCACCAATTTATACTCTAAGGTAACACAGCACATAGATTTAGTTGCGGAATAGAGAGAAAGAGGAGGGGGAGAGAGAGAGAGATTGTGTAACATGTAGAAAATTTGATATTCAAAACAACATGTATGTAAATGATAGATTTTGTCAGTCTTTTTTTACGCGTTAGTCTTCTCTTACGTTCGTCTTTATGTCTCTTTTTAATCTTTTTTTCTAAACATAAATATGTAATTATATCCAGATTTCTTTATATTTCAATATCTTTCGGGATTTTGGGAGCCTTAAACTTAACTGTGAACTGATGTATGCTTGAAAATATGACGTTATATTATTACCAACTTAATCTTTCGTTTAGGAGTGTATAAACTCGTGACTAAATATATGTGCGATTAAAAAGAAAAAAAATATCACAAAAAAGTCAAAGAGATTGTACGATAACATTGCAACAGTCAACAGTGAAGGAGGCGAGAATAATCCTGATACTTTGTCCCGATACCTTGACCTCTTGAACACTGATGAAAAACAATGCATTTTTGCAATTTCTATTGAAACATTCCAAATAAGTTTTTTCTAAAACGTTTTTTCTACCCAATTTAAATAATCGGTTTAAAATACGATGTAGATATTATACCTCACGTGCGAGAATTTCCGTCTCTTTGTAAAGGTTGAGTATTTTTCCACTTGGTCTTTTTTTAAGCGTATTTAACTCTAGGATACACTAGCAACTTTTTATTTAATCTGAACGTATTACGCACAATATAACGTCGATAAAATGTAAATATTATTCGTATTGATTGTAAGGATGAGACAAGAATGTTAGAAGATTGCTCATATTCGTTTGTCACAACTGTATTATTTACTAGTAAGCCATAGAGGGAGAGAGAGAGAGAGAGAGAGAGAGATGCGTACGATTAAAATTGATTTTGAATATAATCAACGTAAGTTATCTATGAAATTGCGAGCTTACAATATGTACGGATAGCAAAAGGCTAAAGAGACCGATATTTCGTGAAATTATGTGAAAAAGAATTATATGTTACGTTCAGGTTCATTTTAATCTTCAAGGTGCATCCTAGGGTTAAATGTTACACAATTTTACAACTTCTTTTCCATATGTTGTAAAACATTGAAACGCGTATATTTATCTCCAGCATATTTTTGGTTTTATCATTTTCCTCTTTTTGATTCGAGATCGGCCATTCGATAGCAGATTGTAACGCCCAAGTTTGATCGTACGTTTTGTCTCTGTACGGGCGTGAACATCTTTCTGACATTGTCATCGAGTCATTTTGCTCATTGTATTGCTAGACAGATATAAACGCGAAATGTAACATGTGACACACAACCATGCAAAAGCGCATGCAGGCATTGTATCTTAATGAGAACATTAGTTATTTGTTGGTGCGAGGATAAATGAGAATAACTTGTACTTTTTTGAGGAAAAAACTACAAATTATTTAAATAAAAAATTCATATCAAATATACTGAGCTAGTCTTGTCAGTAAATCATTAAATTGTGTTCACCAATTGCGATAAAGATCTTGACATCGATGATGATTTTTCATCATCAGTATTCAGTTTGGAGCTACAAGTTTTTTTTTAACAAAAGAAAATCGGAGCGACAGGTGCTCGGTTCTCTTTTTGTACACTCGCGCGTGCGCGCCCGTTTGTGTAATGTAGAAATAAATTTAAGAAAATATAGGATAATTAATGCTGCTAGAATGTGTGGATTTAAATAAATACACACACATATATTTGGCATATTTTCGATATTGATACCGTTGATATTTTCCGATATCTCTTTCCCATTTAGTCTGTTCCTTTTAGTTGCACTGCTGAACTAATGCAATAAGTTAGAGTGAGACAATTATATTTTTTCTCACTCTAACTTATTGCACCAATTCAGTAATGCAGCTAAAAAGAACAGACTCATTATTCCACATCTGTTATCATCAGAGAGAAACTTCCGAGAGCGGCCACCGGGCCGATTACTCCGGGACGTTTCTGCCGAATTCCGACGCGCCCCCTGAGGAAATATGTGCACACTACATTCGTCCTCACGGTAACGGCAAAGTGTGCAGGACGGTTCTTGCTCACTCCACCTCTCTATACTCTATACTTTTAAATACGACATTTTATACAGGACTAACATTTAATAAGAACGAGACAAAATTCGCATGGGATGAAATTCCACTCTTTAAAGCTACCATGACCTTTAATTATTCTCCGAAAACGGCGTCACAACAACTTTGACACTCTGTACAATTAGTTGCTAACACATTATTTCTAATCGTACACATTCCTCTTTAATTAACATAAAGCTAACAAATGTCCGGTGCTTCGACAGAGCAATTTTCTTTATTTTCAGTAATCAATAAATAGAGTGCATCAATGTCGCGTACAGTTAAAAGGCCTCCTCGCATTCCCCTCGTCGTTCCGGAACCTTCGAGAAAAGAAGAGACGCTCAAGGACAAGTCTCTCTTGCTTCTCCAACCGCCGCCGAGGCCCGCAATGTTTACATCGCGGGCCGATTGTGTTGATCGGCTCTCATTGTATAATTTTGCACGCTTATTCATAAAAATTTCAAACAAAGAAATATTTTCGAAATCAGATGGATATGTCAATTCCCTTGCGAGAAGATAACTCAAGTTACTGATATCATTTAAATTATTAGCGTTAATAAAATTATTTAATATCAATAATAATTAAAATATAATAATTATTGCATATTAACATTTACGACGCATATGCATGTGTATGTTCATAATTGAATATGAAAATTTTAAAATTGAATATAAAAATTATAAAAATCGTCATTAGCGTCATTTTGTATCATTGCTAGAAGTTGTCCGCGCGGTCTCGAAATATTTCTTCCCGAATTGCGGGTAGTGCATTGCGAGAAAGACGAGAAGGTGAGGGGAGAGAGACTGAAGAGACTCAAGTTTAGCGATAAGATCCGCCGCTGATTCGCCTCGTGCCTCCCTGTTACCTTCTTTGCTTATCTCTCGAGGGTTGTTTCATATTCCGGCCGCGATATTCCTAAAGGCCGTATTAGACTATGGATTGGGATTGAGATTAGACTGAAATTTTTGACCAATTGAAAAAAAGAAAATCTCAAGTATAGTAAACTTACTCCTGATTGGTTAAATTTCAATCCAATACTCAATCCCAATCCGTAGTCTGATACGGGCTTAAGAGAGCGCTAATGCACAGCGAGATTTCTCTGGTATGCTAAATCCCGTGAGCGTGAGACTAAAGGCTCGTCTACAATAGCTGTAAGAGTAAGGCTGTAACGTAAGCTGTCAGCGAATGAAAATATTTCATTTCGTGTCTTGCAGCCTTGTTCTTACAGCTAATGTAGACGAGCCTTAACAATCTTTATTACCTCGTCCGTGGTTACGGGTGATCGAATCGAGCAACGCAATTGGTCGAAAGCATAGGACCAGAGCACAGCTAACCAATAAACCAATTGGTTTTCTTCATTTCCCTCCTCAGGACAGAAATGAAGAACTCTGATTGGTTGATTCTCTTATGCGTTGTGTATTATGCGTTATGCAGAAGTCTGTGCTCTGGCCCATGGCCTTGAAGGCAATGGTTAGATCAGCTGTATTGTATACTGCTGTACGTATGGTTGGAGCGAGCGAGGAGTGGGAAAAAATCTCTCTATTCGTTATCAACTATTCGTTAACAAGAAGAGAGTGACGACGACGACGACAACGACGACAACGTCGTGCGCGCTTCTCGGATAGATAGATGTGAGAATGTCGGATTGCGATGCGCCGAATCACGCTACGACGATCACCGGCTACGACTTCATCGACGATGAGGATGCCGGTCACGTCAGGTACGTTTTTAACAACTTAGCAATGCGCGGTTGTAAGTAATTCGCGGTGAATCGCCGATGTTGATTCTGATAACGAAACCGGTCCTTCTTCCTGCTGTTAACACAATGAACAGTCATGTGTTGTTTACATATCTACACTCGATTCAATTGCAGCCCATCGATAAATCCATCGACAATTAGAGCACAGTGCTGTGATGCAGCACGTGTTCATTCAGCACACGTTACAAGTGTTTCGACACATATAATATGACGTTTGTAATTGCTAGTATAAATAGGAATGTATCTTGGCGATTCGACAATATTTCGCTGAAGTGACAAGTCGGCAATGAGACGCGATTCGTACATCTAAATTTGCTATTGTGTCCGTTAGTGGTCAGATCGTTGGTATCTCAAATCACTCGTAAAGTGTGTGGGTTTTCTTTCAACGTTTTACTTAATTAATATATAATCGAATTTGTTGTTGTATGTTAACGGATCTTTCGATATTTGTGATGTTACAAATATGGAAGTTGTGACAACGATTTACTCGAGAAATGACATCCGTTCTCGAGGAAATTCCCCGACGATAATCAGTGAAATAGTGATACATCATCCGACGGAAACATGTATTCGATTAAAATATATCGTGTTTTCAGTAAAATGGGTTCATCCAACCCGGCTAACGAGTTCGAGGAATCATTGGAAGCAATGTCTGATATTTACGGACAAACGCCACCAAGAACTCGTCATAGTCGCAAGAAAAGGTATATGAAGCAGAAGCTGACAGGCAGGTATGTGGGACAAATACATTTTATTCGGCTTTGATCTTTTTTTAAGTTATATTAATCATGGTGTATTGTTTGCAACATGTCCAACAACTATATTGTTATACATGTATTGTTATACATGTAAATAATTTTATAATATTAAGACTTTATAAACATTAAATAATTTACAAAAATTTTAGGCACTCTCAAATATGTTTCTGACAACTAAGAATATTTGCTAGTCATGTACTAAATGGACTGTTCCCAATGTAGTTGGGAACTGTTTTGGTGATCACTAAATATCTGGGCTCTATTTAGTTTGTGTCATTTTCAGTGATATTAAGTTAGTAGAGAAAGAAACTCGACCGAGGGTGACTATCCGTAGGCGTAACACTCTGGATACTATCATTTTTAATGAGATGTGTGATAAAGCTGACAAAGATCTTGACAATGAAGCAAAGGATGATGCGAAAGAAGGTAGTAGAAAATGTAAGAGAAGTCTAAAATTATTACGTGGCAATGAAAGAGACTTAAAACTAGATGTGGAGGCTGCCTATAACTATGCCGACAAGCATGAGCATATGACAGTATCAACTCCGAATCAAATCAAGGTTCGTGAAAATGAAGAAATTTTGAATATTCTCATCTTTTGGCAGTTATATTAGTGCTTATTACATCCATACACATTTGGCTCACAATCAAACAATACACCACTTGTTCGCAGATTGAGACTAGAAATAGATTTCGTAGCCTGAGATCCAAGCCTGTAGATGTGGAGGAAAAGAGATTGGAGCAGGAGGTTTATGAACATAGTATGGTAATAAATGAGGAGAACTTTAGTATGCAATCACCAAGAGCACAGAGTCTCAAGGAAAGACAGATATTTCACGACACTTTCTCCTTCTTAATTAAATTGGTAATTTGTTATTTCTTTAATGATTATATAGCTCTCACTCTTATTTCTGCACAAACAGATTTAGGATTTATAATGCTTAATTTTGTTTGTATAACTTCATAGATTTCCTCTCTTGTGTGTTGTACAAATTATTTGCATTGCACGTTTTTTTTCAATACTGTACTATTAATATTTTTCAAAGTTACATAAGTATTTCCTCTTTTTTTTTTTTTTCTTTTTACAGGGAAGCACAGAACGGAATTGTCGTCGTCAGATGAGCCACGAGGAAACTAGATGGCAGAATGAATTGAAGGATCTGATATGGTTGGAATTGCAGGCACATCACGCTGATCGCAGTCCTATGGCACAGGATGAATATTTGTGTCGTCAACGCGAGGCGGTAGAAGGTCTGCTTACGGAAATAATGGAGTATAGGTGAGCGATTATTCACACTTAAAGTTTTGAATGTACTTCAAGTGTCGATGAATATTCTTGTTCCATTTCTCCAATTATTGTATCAGATATGATCCCATCGCGGAAATGCACGAGGTAGGCTTGAGTTGTATCAGCCCCGGTGATGTAGCGACCGATCGACTGACAAATCTCGGTTCGAGTCCAAACATTGAGCTAGGCGTATGCCCAGGTTGCCTCTCCATGTTCTGCCGTGCATGTGCGCGTGCACAGAGTGAGGCGTTGCAACAGGTGGAAGGTTTATTGGGTCGCTTGGAAGCTGCCGAGGCCTTGTATCCATCGTCTCAGGCGTTCGCTGCTAATTATCCGTTATACAAGAGCGCCGAATTCACCGACAGGGTGAAAGCTATGTGTCTTTGGTACAATATGACGAAACACCATCGGCTCAAATTACAGATACTGGGTAGACTACTCATGATGCTGCACAGCAAGAAGAAACAGGAAGAAGTTAACGATTCTGGCATCAGGTGCGTCGTTTGGTTTACAGACACACACCTTTCTGAGTTTGCGTCTGTATAGATCTAGCGAAGTAATTATTTATTATTTCTATCTGTAGTTCGCGATCTTCAGATACCGTCGACTCTACTGAACAACGACAATCCACAGTTCGATTTGAAGTACCTCAACAGGACGAAAATTCTAGTCCTTCCGACAGCAATAATAGCAATAACTCTTCAATCGGGGGTTTATCATTTGTACAGTCATTGCCCGCTACTCCCGAAACCTCGTACTCGTATATCGAGGACGAACGAATCGAGCGTCTCGATTTTTATTTAGTTGAATTCGATCGACACGCTTACAGGTACGAAATCTATGTGTTGGTCCATCGATGAATTTTTAGGTGTAGGTGTAGGAAAGATTATATGCCTTTGTATTACCATTTTATCTGTCAAAATTAATATATATTTTTTTTGTACACGCAGGAAGTATGTTGAAGATGTTCTGAAGACGAGAGGTCTCAGGAAAAGTCTGAACTTCTTAGAACGATTGCATACATCTGTCTTGCGAAAGGCAAGATTGACTTTAGAGAAAAATGACTGTGACAACACATGTGATAATAGCGCGAGTGAAGAGTACGAAGGTGACAAAGAGTTACGACGCTATGGCGTTTGGAGCTCCGAGGCAAGGGAACTGAATTTACCGTCGTACAGGTATTTGAAGAACTTTTCATTATACAGAATTCAGTGATTCAGAATTCCTATTCACACACTTCTAGGAGTTGTAGAAGGGGCTTAGTAGATAAAGTTTTGATAAGGAACCCATGTCGGGAAACATACTGTTTCGATGCTACAATGATAAAATCGAAGCAATTTCAAATCTCCCGCATCACGGTAGGCAACCCAAATTGACAGAGGGCGACGTTTTCAGTCACCTGATGTCACGTGTCTTCTGTTTACAATCTGATGTACTGCTTCGAACTGCACGTCACTTGCCATTCAGTTGCTGATGAAGACGATACAGTGTTGGGTTGGACGGTTGAATACACGTTTGCCGAGAACTCCGATATATTGTTAATTTACGGCGAAGCTGGACATAATGGTGGAGCTGCTTAACGCTTGTATCGAGAGTGTTGTCCGCATCGCGCGCGCGTCACTCCATCACTCGTTGACCCAGGTGAAGCGGGAGATTTGAAATTGATTCGATCTTATTCGATTCGTTCTCACTGGCTGCGTTCACTAGAACAAAATGATCAGTGAGCGCTTAGTGATTATTGTCTGTGATTGGAGCATTCTTTTAGATTCTTCATAGACCCCGAAGTATTTACCAATCAGGAGCGAGAATCACTAAGCGCTCACTGATCATTTTGTTCTTCTGAACGCAGCCATTGTAGCACCGGAACGGTACGTTTCCGGATATATGGATTCCTTATCAAAACTTTACCTACCAAGTAAGTCCCCTCTACAACCCTTCGAAGTGTGTAATAGGAATACTAAATCATCCTGTATAAAGGAATTTGCCGATCTTTAACACTTTCTGTCCTGGCTTCGATGTTGATTTATTCGATTTCGATACACCTTACCTCAACATTTTCTGGCATATTTATATATCTAATTGTAAGTTTCAATTTTACAATGAAACTTATCGACTAGACGGTGTTAAATCATAATTGTGGTGAAATTAGAATTTTATGTATTCTGTATACTTTCCATATTTTGCAAGAAAGCGTGTACTCAACCAAAAGAAGGAAGGGGGAAAAAGAAGAAAGGTACAAAAAAATTCCCAAAATTTTAACGCATTTTTTATGAATCTTTAAGTGCAGCACGCGTCAATAGAGAGTGTTAAGTTGTACGTTTATACCACTTGTGCAACAACTGATTTGTACGAACCATTTCTTTCCTCAGGGCAGCTTTCGTATTTCTTTCGCGTGTACCATTAGACGTGGTTCATGAATTTCTGAGAATGAGGTTGGAGCAGAAGCCAGTGCAACCGAGTCCATTGTCGGTTCGACAACTCATGCGAGAGCTTCGCGAAGGTCTCAGGATCGCTTGTATCCATCGAGACAGGTTTGCAGCGCATTCTCGTGCTGCTATTGCCAGCGATGAGACCAGTTGTGAGAGTTTGTTCGAGCAGGACGTTAAGTACTTTGACCAGAGTTTGAGAGCCGTGTTCGAGGTGTATTTGGATTATTTGCGGCAGTGGGTAGACATGGTACAGCACGACAGCTTTCACAAGAATTTGATTATGGATGAATGGTTGTTCGTCAAGTCTATCGCTGGTAACATAAGCGATGGATTTAAGATTGCCGGTGTGAAATTCTGGTGAGTATTATGTCGGAGTGAATAATGTTCTAGTATGTTATATATAATATATATATATACACACATATACATATATATATATATATATACATACATACTACACACACACATATATATATATATATATATATATACAAATGAGTAAAAGATGGAGTGTTAATTAGAAGTGGATGTGTAATTAGAAGATGAGATTTGCATGAGGTCAGTTCAGTGAAAGATTGTTAAGCTATCTGTGTTACTGTTACTACTTTTTACAGTGAAATCGCGCAGATGATGATCAAGCAAGTCAACGAATTTCTCGTGGATCGTCCTCGCGAGATTCGGGAAAATGCTGAAGAGAAGGATGACGAGTTGTCATGCAAGTAAGAGAGGATTCTAATTTGCTTGTCTGAGCGATACTTTGCAGCTGTTTGTTCCACAGTGAAACGTGGTTCAGATTTCATCTGATGTTTGTGGGCCGTGAATGGCAGGGGATGTTCGTGGAGGCCCGCGAAAAGGTCGTGAAGAGCATCAACTTAGCCAAATGTGTGGAACGCGACATGGAGAAATGGCCAGCCCTCGACCAGGAGTTGCAAGAATCGTTGACCTCATTGAAGGTAACGAACGCCGCAAATAAATATTCTCATTATGATCGGAGAAAATTTAATGTCCCTTTTCTTCCATGCTTATCTAGGATACGGCTTTGGGCCTGAGGCATCGTATATTAGTGGTAGTCGAGGATTTCCAGCAGGAGGCCGACGAGGTGGAGCAGTCGTACACCGAGGCAGACCAGTCGGCGGCTATACGATCGAGAATCCGCGAGAATCTCCATCAGGCTTACAGAATGGGTTTCGATTATCACAAAGAGATGTGCATGCTATTCGCGTTGGAGGAAAAGGCTGTCTTAGCGCGGGGTTTGGTATCGTTCGCGCTTCTTTGGATGGAATTTGTGAGGACGCGATGCGAGCGTGGCCGCGGCTTGAGACCTAGATGGGCGAATCAAGGTCTAGAGTTTCTAATCATAGTATGTGAACCACACTACACGAAACATCTCACCGATCAGGAGTTTGAGAAACTGAAAACTTGTATGGATCGCTGCATATCTCATGTGGTGGGGACAGTGTCGGTCGCGGCATCCATGCCGGAGACGGAAGGTAGGATAACTTGTCATTTTTCTCTTTAATCATTAGGAGTCTCAACATATTCGTCCGTAAATAATTAAGGCATATTAGTAGAGAGTTTTGTCTTTGGCCTTCAGTAACGTTTGCGCTCACAGGAATTATTTCGAAAAGACTACCCCGATCGAGAGCCTCGTCACCGTCTCACGGTCGCAGTAGAACCGCAAGTTTCAGTCTTTCTCCAAAGCCGCGGGATATTCTAAGATCGCCCGAAATATTAATTAATGCGAAGAAGAGCGGTTCGCCTAGTGTGGTGGATGGAAATCTCACAGTGATGATAAACACGCCCGAGCGAGGTATGTTGAGGCACGAAAGAGTTGTTCGCGCCACCAGGAAAGTGGAAAACGAGCTGGACGAAAGATTGCGGAGTCGAGAACTCATCGGGCAAATCATTGATAGAAAAACAGTGGACAGAGTTCGTATTAAGGCGAGAAGAGTTACGTTCACGTGGCAACGTGGTATTAAAATAGGTGCGTTCTATATTATATGTATCGTGTGTAAGTTCGACTGTTACGTCTCTCTCTCTCTCTCTCTCTCTCTCTCTCTTTCTCTCCCTTATCATCATATACACAGGATAATACATTAATAATATCGATGTGCCGATTTAACTCTTGTATCGTAACATGTGTACATCAATATTTATCGGAAAATGCGTTCTACACAGGCCAGGGAAGATTCGGCAAAGTATATACTGTGGTCAATAACCAAACTGGTGAATTACTGGCCATGAAGGAAGTGCAGCTGCAACCTGGCGATCACAGAGCGATCAGACGCGTTGCCGAGGAATTGCAAATATTCGAGGGAATCCAGCATCAACATTTAGTGCGATATTACGGGCTAGAAATTCACCGTGTACGATAAACGTAACACAATTGTCGCGTCGTGATATATCGACATGTAGTGAACACTGAACATGAATTATCATTAGTGATTGTCCCTTCCAGGAGGAGATGTTAATTTTTATGGAATTTTGCGCGGAGGGTACACTGGAGAGCTTGGTGGTGGGTAGCGGCAATGGATTGCCAGAACCTTCGGTGAGGAAGTACACTCATCAACTTCTCAAGGCTGTGGCAGCACTGCACTTTCATGGAATAGTTCATCGAGATATCAAAAGTAATTATCCGGATAAAGTGATATCTATAGCGAAGTAATATTAACTGCACTCGCATATTTTTTATATAATTTTCTTCCCTTCGTAGCCGCGAACATTTTTCTAACGGACGAAGGCAATTGTCTGAAACTCGGTGATTTCGGTAGTGCGGTACAAATCAAAGCGCACACAACGATGCCTGGTGAGCTTCAGGGCTTCGTTGGTACTCAAGGTCGGTATTATTGATCGCCATGTAGTAATATTTTTCATATGTGAGTCAATGTGATCTATAATAACGTAAAACTGCGGATAGAAATTTTTTAGCAAATCGAACATAATCATTATTATATTGTTCGTATTAATATTGTATTATTTTTCTATTATCGTTAAAGCATACATGGCGCCAGAAGTATTCATGAAGTCCGAAGGCACTGGACACGGCAGAGCTGCCGACATCTGGTCGGTAGGTTGTTGTATCGTCGAGATGGCGAGCGGCCGACGACCATGGTCGGATTACGATTCGAATTATCAAATTATGTTTAAAGTACGTAAACATAAGTATAAACTATAGCTGGTTATATAAATTGAACGCATTATTGTAAATTTGCACGTACGCTGGTCAACCAACTCGAGACTGTTGATCTTTTTCTTTCGTATAAGGTCGGAATGGGAGAGTCACCGGCACTTCCGAAGAATCTTTCCGCGGAAGGTACGGATCTCGTGAAAAAATGTCTCCAGCATGACCCGAAGAAAAGGGCGACCGCGAATACTCTCCTGGCGCATTCCTTCGCGCAAGCTTATGAGGACGTTAATGCTGATTTTAACGATGCCGCGATATTGAAAGTCGTACGGGAGAATGTGTGAGTACAATCCACAAAATTTCATCTCTTAAATTAACGTAAACGTTCTGCTCTCTGGCGCGCGCATACGTTTCTTGTTTACTTATCTTTGCTGCGGAGAAGAGGATTGTCTTTGTTACGGACTTGTGCGGAATTGCGCTTAATGGGCCGTCGTACTTTAGGACTCTCCTTAGAATTGTGCTCCACACATAGTGTATCGTGGTCGTATTACATTGAGACGCTGGTTGCTCTTTCGTTCTTTCAAGTGATTTAATTATCAGTGAATGTTTTCCTTCGTTTCGACAACACTTGGTGTTCACAGCGAACTACACGGAGGAACGAGAAATGTCTCAGGACATTTTAGTCATTGACGGATTCAGTCAGTGCATATTCAGTGTAGTGCATAATTATATTGTGATTGTTTTGTTTACGGTGTAATTATATATATATAGGTCGTCCCAGAAAAACGTGCCCTCGTAATCGCAATTGTTAGATACCAAAGAAATTGTGAAGGCCTCATTTTCTTTCTTTGGTCATGAAAAATTGCGAGTTTCGGACATTGCATACCTATATGCAGTATGTGATTCTAAGGTAGACGTTACACTTTATGCGAACACGTTATGATAGGATTAGATAGGGCCTACATATGTTAAAGGAGCGTGAGCGTGATTTTAGTGAAGGACGATTAGTTTATCATAGATAGTCGCACGTACAGTCGAGCTCGGTCGCAAATTTAATCGATTGACGGACATTTATAAGGAACATCAAAAGGATAATTGTCTTTAAGTACACAAGAGTGTAACGAGTGTACGAGGTGAAAATATTTACAATTTGCCAATATGTGCATTTGATTTAAACGAATCTACAAATATAATATGTAATTTTGTACATAAAGTTGATATATAAGAATATTCATTTAAATTGGAGATAAATCGGTGAAAGAAGAATAATTCGCAGCATGATGAGAATAGATTAGCTCTACTCTACTTGAAATAATTTATGAGCCGCGGCATGTGCTGTGTATTCCTTATAAATGTATGACTAGTGTGCAGGAACATTCCGAGAATCGTATTCGCACTTCAAACTTAATATCGAACATGGCTGTCCGGTGCTCGTATCACACATTGGAGATTTCATATTGAATAAGATTCAGATTTGGCCGGTCGTGTCTAATGTTATCTGCGATCTAAAGGGAGATACGATTAAGCATTGGAGGTACTTCGGCATGATTATGGCAGCTTTGAGCGTGCGTGTGTTATCTGTCTAAATATGATTGCTTCGTAGACGAAGCGAACAACTTGTTATTGTGTGGAATAGATATTCTATTTTAAATAAAACGATTGAAAATAAGTACCGAATATAACGGCTACTGGTGTACCGATAGAATTTATTTCTGTACGAAGAACCGTATATATACACACACATGATACAACATACTTTCGACGTGGGTCATTTATTTAGCGGAGGTATGCTGTGTATGTTTTCCGCGCAAACGGAAAGCTAGATGTATTTATTCATTTATCTGTCGAGTTTTTACGCACGATAATGATCAATTTGCGTTGCAATTCGTTATTCTTATCCATATATACAATATTTTCCTTTTTTTCGTAAAAGGAAAAGGAGGAGGAGTAAAAAGGATCGATTTTTGATCGAATCAAATCGATCTCTATCTCAACCAAAAATTTTGGATAATTAGCAATTACAACATATGAATATAACTATATGATATTTTACAAGTAAATTTGCTCAAAAGAATGCAGTAATCAGAGAAATGAAAAAGAAGGTATCCCAACATATCCGAATTATAGATTATATACGGGCTATCTTATACGCGCCTCTTACAAGTCCAAATCCTGTCTCAACTTTCCAGTTTATAGTATAGGGTCCACTACATTTCATCTTTTATTATGAGTCTATGTCCAGCCAGAAGGCAGATTTGTTTTATTTTCCTTTATATCCAGTGAAAAAGAGCAAAATAGGAAAGTGTAATATTTGGTGACCTCGCGATATATATATATATATATATCGCGAGGTTCTTAAAGATCGATTTCAAGCGATATTATTAAATAGTTAGACATTAATACATAATGTAATTTTTCTCGTATGTTTATAATTTTCGATTTGAGTATATATATATATATATATATATATATATATATAAACATTTCAACAATGACGAAAACGATCCTCGCATATAACGACTATGAGTCATATGCGTGAATCACGACGATTTTAAGAATTAGTTTTCTTGTATGTATTAATGTTTAATTTAATGTTGCGACAGTTAGATGAGGAGTATGATTTTATTTCTTTCAGTCCTCATGGTTCGAAATGACGCGCGTGAATCCTATATTATTAACATTATTTTAATATTATGTATATACGTACATATGAGTCATAGCTACTTAGCTTTCTTTTCTTATACTTTTTATTGTTCGCTAACATTAACAGTCTTAAAACGTATATAGTTCAAAATGTGTATTCTAATAATCACAACGTGTGCCCGCGAAAATAATATTTTCCATAACTCATAACCAGATATATAAACGATCGCTCATGAGCCTTCGCAGCTGTGAGGATTAAATATCACGGACATTTGTAGACTACGATTACCACGAAACTTACAATTAGCACAATGCGACATGTCGTTCTCCGCATAAACTCAAAAATTACGTGTAAAAGCTATACAATTTTATTTCGTCGCGATTCACGCAAAACGATCGAGATCATTTCGAAAACAACAAATAATTTAACGCACTGATATATTTCTATTTACTACTTAGAACTCGAGTTACACCGTAATTACATTCGTAAGCATACTCCCTACCGATTTATCAGGATATGTGTTATCCCGGAGTAAAATCGTCGCTACATTGGCTTTCGCCTGATATGCATGTGATATTCTTGGCCGCAAAAATGCGATCACAATGGTTTCGCGATATGTATAAGTATCTCTAATTGTGTTTCGTAGCCTTAATTATAATAATAGATATTTCTTATTTTCTTATAGACTTTTTCTTTTTTCTCTCTTTTTTTTTTTTATGTTTTTTTTCTTTTTAATACAGAACACTTTCACATATTGTTACGTATACAAGGTGCAACTAAAACGCGCGTAGGTAGCGCTCCCATCGTGAATCGTTCCGAATAAATATTTTCTCGGTATATTGAACTTTTTTATATCTAGACGAGAACATTTTTAATGCTAACTTTTGCATCGTTTCCAGGCTATCTGTCAATTTTTTTCAATATTTATGTAGTTTGCTTTGAGAATGTTTCCAAAAGATATATATGTATATATACATACACATATACATATATATATTTTTTTAGTTGCACACTGCATACGCGGATATATATATATATATATATGTACTTTTAATTGCACGCGTTATCATATATATATACACATATTTTTATTTTTTAAATTTCGTTTTTTTTTTTTTTTTAACAATAACGAGCAGACACCATGCTCTCTCGTACTTTTCACAAATGCATTTGACGATCGATTAACTTTTTCGAACTTTCGTAAAATTTGTATAACTTATGGTGCTTAACGAATGAAAATTGGATAACGACGACGTAGATTATATCTTATTTACAAAAAAGTTTTAACGACAAACCTCAACAAGAAGCTACAACGAATGAATAAATTTTCTTCAAGGCGGATTTAACTCAACGAACATCAATATTGGACGAGATACATCATCCTCGAGTATGAATAATTGAAAGAACAAGCGTAAGAACGATGGATTGTAAGCAAAATAGATAAAAAGTTCAAAAGTTAAAATATGATTTCATAACATAAGTGAAATATAAATAACATTGACGAATCTGTCACGTTATCTGTAAGTTTGACTATGTCTGGATAGGAAAATACAGATGAGAAGGACTTGGTATATCGTAGAAGAACTGATGTAAGCAAATCTGATTGTCTCTGACAATCTCGTTTTACACGTTAACAAATCGAGAAAGTATCGTTTATCATATGAACCTGATGGTAAATCCAAGTCTTCTTCTCACAGCATCAATTCTCTCTGACATCATCTCTGACAAACAACTAGAATTAGGAGACTGACTAAACAGCGCTCGTAACAAGATTTTACCTTATCTCTCATAGCTGTAACTAGACAATTTTCCTCCGTAATCGCTGCCACTCGTCGTGATATTGACTGGAGTCACATTACCATGCAATATTATCGATACTGCAAAAAGTTAGTACGAGAGGACAAGGCGAGCGTAACATTCGCCTAAATCTCCTAAATTGTGGAGCTGTAAAAACGCAGAGATTTTCATCACTATTCAAAGGGACAACGACTCGAATATACAATCGTCTGATAAAGTAGGATCATCATGAGAGAGTCAGTGCATAAAGATGGCTTTACACGTGTAAAACTGCCATTTGATACGTATTATGAATTGCATGGATATGTAATAGATCTTTGCGAATATAATCATTTCTGAAAAGTTTAACATACACACAGGATGTCCCAGTCTTTGATAATTTTTGATGGCACATTTCTTGATTTTTAACGTCCAGAATTGATCTCTTTCGAAAATCAGTCAGTAGAGTTCGTTTAATTAAATTTGACATTGCAATTTGACATTTTTGACATTGCGAAAACGATCAGCTAAGGAACACGATCTCGTTTGTATCCATTTCTTTTTTCTCCAGAACTTAATATCAATGTCAGAAGCTCTATATTTTCGATCGCTGAGATTATACGAAAGAAACATTTACACATTCGTTTTCGAGGTCGAAAATTTGCTGCGAAACATTTGAGCGAAAAGGAAGAAACACCGTTCAGAAAATGGTGCGACGGACATTGTCTATTTCCAAGATATCGAGTCACTACTTGCTGTGACGACTCCCTGCATCATGATGTCCCGTGCGAACCTGGTCACACAGGATGCGGAAAAATAGCGCGATAGTTAGAGCTATATTGTCGACGATCGAGCGGCTTTTATCGAGCGATGCGATGCGTCGACCTATCTAAGAATTGGACAAGAGTTTACTGTGCGGGCGCCAACATACGTACGATTGGCCACATTTAGAGTGTTTCTGCGGCAGACGAGACCCGCGCGCTGGAAACCTCTTCTTTTCTTCGGATAAACATCTCTAAGAGACGTGAACAAATCAACAAGCAGCTTCATCTGGTAATTACGGAAAAGCAAGCGACAAGCACGACGAAGAGATTCATTACGAAATACGCGATAAACGCGACTCGGATAATTTTTGCTCAATTTTCGCACGTACAAAGCTAAGCTTATATAAAGCTCCCGGCATCCGTATCTCTGACGTCTCTTACTTCAAGGATCGTTCTTCTGGCGAAAGAACGATTTTCTTTTTTCTTCGATTCAAAATGCGAGACTCGCGAAACGGCGGCGAAACTGCGTGCAACTTTGCGTAGATAGGATAAGATGCAATACGATCTTTTTTTCCAGCGCCCGGGCGTAACGCTAATGGATCAGAGTTTTAAAACGACCGATCGATCTCTAATATTATTCGCTTACTACACGACGGCTACCGCTGAAGGATTGACTAATGTGCGTATGCGTGTGTGTGTGTGTGTGTGTGTGTGTGTGCACACATTATTGTACATACTTCTCTAGAAAAACAGACAACGAGAGATTCACTTCTAGTAGCTCGTGTATAACAAAGAACATCTTAAAGATTACAACAGCTTTCGATGAGTTAGTTTGCACGTTTCGGCGACACTTTCTTGCTCCGTACGTGCCATTGTTTGCTTCTCTATTCTTTCCTACTTCCTAAGGATTATACCAACCAGCGATACATCTAACAAATTGTGCGAGATCGAGTTACTTCTAATTTCTCCGCGTTACGCGCGTACGCACGCGTTACTTACACTATACGAACTTACTTATCGTTACTTTCCTCGATGCAAGGGTGCTTCGAAAGTCATGTTCTTCATTTCACTCGTCGCCGTCCAACGGCGATAAAGGAAACAATTGGCAATTCAGCTAATTTACACACACAGCCAGCCCCTTCGCAGTAAATAAATCACACGTCAACAGGCGTTAGGCGTTAGGCGACACAATTCTTACGCGAAAGTCATTTTCGCTAATATGGTACAATGAAAGTGAGAAAAGATGTTATTTATATATACAGGATCATTTGCGGATGGAATTTTCAACAGCGTACAAGTAAAGGGGATAAAAAGAAATATATATATATATATAGGAATGGCGTTTTTCAGGTCCGTGTTTCATGTGCCATGTGCGTTTCGAACCACCCTCGTATGATTTACGAAGCTTACACACTTTCTTGTGTTTCTCTCTTTTTTTCTTTCCTTCCTTCCTCCTTTCTTTCTATTTTCTTTCCTTTTTCTCTCCTTTTTGCTTACAGCTTCGGCGAGATCGACGTGTAAGACGTGTTGCGTTAGTTTATCACTTTTTGGAATTTTTTATCATAGCTGCCATATCTCGCAGACTCTGTTCTAGTGTTTGCGCAAATTGCATCGCATTGGTTCTGCCGTCGCTGTGAAAGGCAGAAACCGAAAACAAAAAGCCGTTTGGCCGCATATTGTAGGCGCATCCGTAACCATCCGGTACTACCGGTCCGTATCCGGCGATCGCTTGTTCCTTTGTCGTAACCTGTCGTAAGACGAACACTCAATTTTTATGTTTTCAAACGTAAACTCAAGAGTAAAAGATTCGTATCGTAAAGATCCGTGCCTCGCTTCTCAGTGCCTCGTACTAAAGTACGCAGTAAGTTTTATATTACGTCACAAGGGAGTATGTATCATTGCATGTATCATTGGCATAATTCTAGAGATGTTAATTCAATCGATATTATTAATTAGTATTTTCAAACGAAAGCGACTTGCGCGTGGACTTACGCGCAAGATCGCGGCGCTTCTTGCAAACTTGTCTATAATTGGTTGCGTAACTTTCCTCGGACAAATTGATCGTGTCGATCCCAAGCTGTCGGAGCTGTTCATTAAAAACTTACAAAGATGTTCGCAACACATCCGAGATCTTAATTTACTTTCTGTCGCGATAGATTGCTTTAAATGCTCGGCGTGCATTAGCGTGATCGTGAAATAATGTTCAATCGAGAAGCGTCGAGTAGCATGTGCGTTGCAAACAACAAATTATTAATTTTCTGCCTATATTCTCGCATCTGTTTCTTGAATATGGACGTTTTAATTGATATTGCGAGACGGTATACGATATATATATATATATATTCGAACTTAAAGTTCGTCTTGACACAGGCCTCTAGTTGAGGCTAACGATGGCAGAAATTGAGAAAATGAAGTCGACATCAATGACGGATTTGCGTTTCAAAAAATGGCCGAACGAAACGATTGACCTTGAATACTGACCTGCGACGTCGAGAGGGCAAAGTGATTAACGATCGCATAGGTTTCGTCGGTGAAGATGTCCGGAATCGGCTCGCCGACCTTTATCGCCGCGTAACGTAACCCCATTAGATGGTTGTCGATGCCGTGTCCGTGTATGTTGTCGTTCATTTCCTTGGTCTGTCTCTGCACCGCTAGATCGAACAACTCTTTGATCCTTTCCGCCTGAAGGAGGAAGAAACAAAAGGAAGAGGCTGTATTTAGTAGAGAGTTCAACAAGTATAGAAAAATTAGTGTCCGTAGAATCGTGCGCGAATTTCTTCGTTTCTACTAATATTTGGTGAAGTATAAACAGCTGCGTAGGCTGCGTGTACAGACAGGCGTGAAATTCGTCGACAACTTTGACACAAGGCGAAGAACATTGAGAGGCTATTAGCGATAAAGTTAACGACTGTTTCCTAAATTAGTTTCTCTTTGTGTTTCTCTTGAAAGGACTGACAAACTGAACCAAACACTTCGCCCATGTGACCTTTGTCATAGTAAACACGAAAATTATTCCGCGAACAATAACTGGAAATAACGCGGCGGGAAAAAGAAGCGACTGAGGCGATATGCCACTAAAGGGGAAATAATACAAGCACGGTGAATGAGAAACAACAGCTCGTTACCGCGATATTTTTCGAGGGTGGACCGTGTGAAAAAGGAAACAAACGGTATATCCCCACGGAACTTGCCCGAGGACCGGAGGATTGCGCAAACACTCGATGAAGAAGGGCAAGGAAGAGCGAACCGGCGAACCAGCCTAATTGATTGCCTTTTCCTTTTTCGGGCTCCCTGTTTTTTTTTTTCGTTCGTTTCCTAGCTTTTGCTCTTTGGCTTTGGCTGTGTCTGTCTTATTTAACAAACTTGTTTTTCTTCATTCTTTTCCATTTTCTCTGTAATATTCAATCGATAGTTGAATGGATCGTTTGAGAAAAGGGAACAAAGGTCGTATTGTTTGGGCGAATATGTGTGTGTGCATCGCACAGTTTATACAAATATAAATCTCTAAAAAGAGAAGAAAATTGGCAAAGTACGTAGAAAGAAGAGAACAAAATTGTGCCAAAGATAGCTAAAAGATTAGCTAACGTGTATAGCGTGTGTGTGTATATATATATATATATATATACACATTTAACACAAAATGACAATAAATAATGCATCGTGCGATTATTGTTCAACACACATTAAAGTGTTCAACGAAAACGTGAAAGCATACTAGGATTAAGATGCGAGATATGTGTTGATATTAATAATGTGATAACGTAAGGCGACAATAAGATACAAGAGACAGTTGATAAACAGAAAGGTAGGAGCTTAGATATTATATCGAAACCTCTTCACAGGCGGATGCATTTGGCATAAATGGACAATGCGACCAACTGCTCCGAAATTTTTCATAACACTGTAAAAAATTCTATCGTGAGACAGATCGATAAGACATTTTTGGCAAGATTACTGTATTGTAAAAACGAGCAGACTCAAGGTTCGAATTGGAAAGTGTCAATTTTTATACAATCACGATCGTAATATATTCCCCGCTATAATATTCCAATACGCAGCCTTCTCGAGACAAAGTATCGTTAAAGTTTCGTTATGTCATGCAGGCCAATGGTTACTTCGTTAAATTCGCTAAATTACCCAGGAAGAAATAACAAATAGATAATAGAGATCGAAGAGAAAAAGGGAAGAGTAGAAAATGAATAATTTCTCAAACGAAATCGATAAGAGACAAGTGCAACGTGGGCGGTTTAAAGAATAATAAAGCTACGCGGTAAAAAAGTTGAACGAAATGAGAGAGGAACGAGAGAGAGAGAGAGCGCGTGTTCCGCGCTCGACCTTGTCGCACTTTCGTCGAGTGTCGTCACGCGTCACTACGACGAGAATCGCATAGGAAATATGGCAAGTTTCAGTTACACTGTAAATGGTGAACTGAACTCTTTTGGGGCTCCCGTCCAAGGTGTTGTTGGGCTGATTCGGCCCGGCTTGACTGTAAGGGTCGCCCTGGCACATTGCCTTCGCCCATGCCAGCGCTTCTGGACTCGCAGCCCGGATGCAATCTACACGACCCAGCGCGAACCTCCGGATGCCGGCGCTCTCGTAAGTAGCTACCAATTTCCCGTGGAGTCTGCGAAATTCACGAAAACATCCCATCAATGATGGAAATTGGGAGGCGAGAAGCTATCAAGTTTGGCTATTTACGAACAATAACAATAGAAGAAGCAACGGCTCATACATCTTACCTGAAATGCGTAAGCTGGAGTGCCAATTGTACGTACACGTCGGGGCTAATTTTGCAGGATTTTACAAATTCCTTGGAATAATCCTCGAACGACATGATACAAAGGTCCAAATCTTCGACCAGCCTGGACGAAAGGAAAGGAAAGAAGAAAAAAGATGGTCGTTTCTCATCTCGTTCGATTTCTGCGCAGAGGCAAGTCGCGTGTGCGAAAGCGCGTGGACCGTAGTAACCGAGCGACGAACGCAGCTCGCCGCTCCGCGCTTTATCGTCATTTTCTACAATATTTATTTTTCGCCGTGTTTGTACTCACGCGTCGATGCTCATCATTGCATCTCTGATGTCGTTCAGGCTTTGCTCGCTGAGGTGCCATTCCATTTTCTCCGGCGCCGGAAGATGCGACGGCACTAGATTTTCATCCGCTGGTGGCATCGAGTCCACTTTCCTCGTCAGATCTTCGAAAGCTTGAAATATAGCCGGTGCTTCGCCAGCGGAATGCTCGTACGTAAAGCCCCACAGTCCGTCCTGCATCACAAGGATCCACTCGATTCAAGCTTCGACTCAACAAGTTGGAAGGAATCTCGCTATTCGGGAGAGGCTGTTCGCGCGTTCGATATCGCAATCGATATCGATCGGTGCAAGGCGGTATCGAGTCGGTCGCTGATCGGAAGTGTCATTGGTCATTGGAATTTGGTGGCTTACCTTGCCGAGGAAAGGTTGAAGAGTCTTGTCGTACCAACGATTCGCGGCCAGGTGTCTGGATCCTCCACCGTGAAGGGCGTGATGTAAGACGTTCGCGTAATCTCGATCGCCGATCCAACGGTCCTCCTTCCTCATGGGGTTGTTGAATGTGGTTGGCAGCACGTCGTCGTCGATGCACACGATGCACAGGGAGCGCTCCAGTAGTTCCAGATTGTGTCGGTTACCTTCATCTACGAGTCATTTCGTCTCGTTTTCTAATGCCGATGATTATCGGCATCGATGTGTGTATTCGATGTATTATGACAAGGATCTCTATTGTGAATCCAAAGTATAGCTGTATACCCGCAACCTACCAACTTTAATTAGCCGCCACGAGTCCCGTCCATGTATTCGCGCGCTATTCATTATGAGATTCGTCCAAACGGGACGTCGCGATATATTCTTACTGGAACAACCGACGAGCACAATTTCCGTTGTCTCGTCCGACGACGTCTTTCTGCCGTTAATTAATCAGCGCGAATGCAGGTAGTCGTTAGCTCGTTACCGCGGCCGTTTATTCGATTTGCAAGGCGTAGGTTGTAGGTAGGTTGTCGTCGAGCAAGATCGGGTTAGGGAGTTAATGGGAATATTGCGAATATTGGAGAAGCGGAGAGAACACGACCGCGTGGGTAATTACGACGACGACGACGACGGCGACGACGGCAGCGACGACGGCGACGACGGCGACGACGACGACGACAACGACGACGACGACGAGGGTCGTACAAAGACGCACGCGGCCTATTTTTGCAGGTGATCCGACTATCCGCTTTTCGCGAAGCGAATCGTCGATAGACCTATAGATTCAATCAAAATCGAATTCCATTCAATTCAATTGTATTCAACTCGATATGGATTCTTTGTTGGATCAGGTGCTTGTGACAGGACATTCTTCGACAATATACGCACTTTTAATCAGTTCCTCTCGCGCTTTCGCCCAGACTGGTCGCTTTGCGGTCGTGAGAATTCCAACCGGTGGGGTCCTAGGATCCGCTTTGGTTTCCATAATCATCAGTAACTGCTGGACTAGTTCAGCCTCCGTGATTCGGTCTCGGTCCGACGCTCTCACCGGTACGCTGTAAAACTGGAGAAAACACATAATGAGATATGTTTCGATACGATCGAAGATTGTATGGCCAGAATGCCGGCCGGCGCGGAATGTTGGAATTTACGCAACCTTTTCTTTCACATTATGACCCAGCTATACTTTTATATTGTCAGAGATGCTCATTTACTTGTGGTACAATTTCGTTCTAAATACAAAGAAAAGAACAATCACACCTCCGTTACCTGATTATGGTGCGCAACGACAATGTGATCGCCGGAGGCTGCTCTGTCAAGGATAATTTGCTCGTCGCTGTTCACCCCGGGTCGCCGATAAATCCGCAACATTTGGTAATGTTGCGCCATGCAGAGCCGTTGCATGCTCTTACCGTCCTTAGACTTGACGCGTTCGACTTCCAATTCGCACCTGACCGAAAGATACGAAAAGATTTTGCTTCTGACACGTTCCTCTCTTTGTGGCTTTTATCTCGAAGCGAGCGGAAGCGATCGATCTTCCGCACGGAGAGCGGGAACGCTCTCGTCGTTCCCGAATACCGTTTTCTCTTTTACTCGAGGTAACACGACCTACGCTCGCTATTAAGAAAACTGGCGGCGGTGGTCTTTGCGGTGGAATTTGCATTAGTTCTTGAGTCGAAAGAAAGGAGCACTCGACGCAGCCCTGGCTTATTCCCGCGGCCGGATACGGGATACCGAGGATCCTTTGAGTCGCTCTCTCCACGCGCGGCAGCGCGCCCGTTCCTTCTCTCACAGCTCCCGCCGTTCCTCTTTATGCTCACTTTCTATGGATCTTACAGCGCCCGGATTTCCTCGCAGACGTACGCCCTCTCTAAATTGATTTTAGTGCGGCTTCTTTTTGTCCCTCACGTCCCCGACGACGACAATGACGATGAGTCGTAATGTCTCGGCACGTCTTGTCTTGTCGAACACGGTTGCCTCATGGTACATTTCCCGCGCCCCCTCTCCCATCTCGAATTTACGTATCGTCCGAAATGAACAAAGCGGCAAAGAAATTACGCACAAATTGTGCGAGCGACCTTTGCGACCAGTTGGGAGAGTGTTTAAAGCCGAAAATGCATTTCGGATTATCGTTCGGAGTATCGGCATAAATGACAAACTCTCAATTGTCTCACCTGTCTAATTTTTCTTGATAATTCAGAAGCTCGATGAGAAATCGTGCGAGGAATACCGCGGATTCCCGCTGGTTTGTAAATCGCTTCGTTTTTACAACTACGCCGGGATTGCTGTTAATTGGCAAAGCCAACGGGACGGACAGGTACATGTCATTTAGCCACCATTCTGTCGCCTGCAAGCAATATCAATTAATATATTATATTAAATTGTTTATGGAATACATCTTGTAACACATATACTCTAGGTATGTATGCGCGTGTATGTGCGCGGTGAGTGATTATTAAATGTAAATTATTTAATGATGAACGTGGAAATTGTTAATTACACACGTTATTACCTAGTATATAAAGTGTTGATAAAATTACGGATTCGTAATATAAAGATGACAGTGATTACACTCTATAATACTGGATGAAGCCATGCATAACATCCGAATATAAGTATATTACGCAATAATTGGACAATAGTTACGTAATCCGTGCTAATTTTTCGGGATAATTGCGCGACGTCATGTGAAAAGAAAAAAAAATATATATATATATATATATATATAGGAGATGGCTAACACGTTAGAAATGAAAGAAATTGCAAAAAGGAAAGAAAAGTAAGAAAAAGATACGTGACGGAAGTCAGCCGAACTTATCGATGGTCGATGTAAGTATGATCATTTTGCGATAACGATTTGCAACAAGAAAGTAATACCGATACACCGAGTGTGAGTTTAAAACTTCCTGGAAAGTCTAATGATAAATTGCTCATTAGCGTAGAGTTCTCGCAGTCACGTAGTTTTTTTTCGAATCGATAAGAAGTTAGGTGATGATGATATGCGATGTATATAATAATATATCGGGATATGTCTCTGTAAATTATCTCTGTAAATTACTTTATCGTCAAATGTGCGATTTAACTTCTCTGTCACTTTAACGTTGGTTTTTTTTCTTAATTATGCGTAATCTGTTATACACAGCTCGACGCCACTTTAACGTTACGACGTCGTTTCTCACACACTCGATGGGGATTATCCCCGACGTGTCATTAAATACGGATTAAACAATGGATTTTGTTCGTTGCTGCCTCCATTGTCACGCACGTTGCGTGGTAAAATCGTTAAAAGGGGAAAAGTATGAAGAGTCGAGACTCCCGTATTCTTACGTTAGCAGTTAGTGTCCTTCCGGTTTTTTCCGATACTTTGTTTAAACTTTTTATTATCATACATACAAGATGAAATTTTGGAAATTTGAAAGTTGAGTATGAGATTGTAGTAATTGAAGGGAGATAAAGAACAGAGCTATTTAAATCATAAAATATCTTTAACATCTGACAGGGCGCACTGTTATCGTGCGCGCTAATGTGTGCGTCGAGAACGCATGATCGCGCCTACGAGGCTGCGTTTTGCGATTTATTCATGTTTCGTGATGTCTGACAACATCGTCTACTTATTTTACATTCTTCGAAGATCGCGGACGGATCGCGGACTTTCTCGCAAACTTCTCGACGGGAGACAGTCGAGAAAGACATCAATCTTACCGTCGCTAGTCAAAGAGCGCATGAATAAAACGTGATAAAACCTGCGTCCCGTGACTGGCTGTCAATTGGATCATGCTTGGCATCATCGCCAGCCACGTCGTCGCTAATCGGAACGTGTCAATTGGCACGTGTCAGGATGTGCCCGTACGAATTTTAATTCGTTCGCACGGGTAACCGTATCATCCCTCGAAGCGTAGTTTCTTTCTTTTTTCTCTCCCGTCTGATTCTGGGGCAGTGTGACGAGCACCGTCCGAGCTCGTGTATATATATATATATATTTCACGAAGTCCGTCTCCGACAATGGTCGATACAATGGCTACAAATTTGCTTTCGAGAATCGTCTATAGATAGAACTTACAAGCTCGACTCGCCGTTTATTCGCGGACTAGGCTATATTTGATCGGAGATGACACAGTTCTCACGTTTTGAGCTTTTTCAGAATGCACTGAATCGAACCGCACCTCGTCATTTACGTTACAATATTTTGGTACAGATGCGATAGCGAGTCTAACCGCGCGAAAAATTTGTTTGGGTAAAACTCTCTCTCACTCGTAAAGATGGGGATCGGCGAAAATTACGCGATTAAAGATTGCGGTAAGGTCGCGAGGATGTCATGTCTATCGAATAATTGAGATGTACGGATTCGTGTACTCGGATGCACTTCGAATTACTCGCCGTAATCGCGCGCGCCCGAGCGTGCGATATGTGTAGAATTATATTTTTGTAAGATGCCTCAAACTCCAATTTTCTGTTGATTAGGAAACTGCGATCCACGAAGGAATTAATGATTCGTAATTGTTGTGACATTTGAGTATTCCACATCGGTATTGCGTGACTATCGATTACACGAACTGTTTGCTGCGATGGTACCGCTCGTTCGTTCAATTCGAAACAACGGTGTTTCTTGGACAGTCCATGCAATGTCTAGCGTTAGTCAGTGTTAGTCAGTCAAAGAAGAGTTTCATTACAGTTTGCATGTATTACTTAATGCAATGTAATACTGAAGTTTCGCTTCCGTAAGCAACTTCTAAAGCGAACTAAAAAGTATTTTACACCTAGTAAAGCGAAACAACAAGTCCGCGGTGGCGTCCGCTTTCTATTTTTTTTTTTTTTCTTCAAATGCGATATCGTCCAACGCTATTCTTTGGCTCCGATGAACATCTCCGTTGCATAAAGCGGAATCCGAGTTACGCAAATGCCGCGTGAGATGCGCGCTTAACGCTTAAATACGCGACACGAACGCAAATCGGTCGGCGGAATCGCGTAGCTAGGTCGTGCGGGAGTTTGCGCTCCCTGCAGATCCTGGATGGAAGACTTACCCGACCTTACCCAGAGAGAGATCGGTGGCTTTGATCACCGATGGCGAAGCCGGTCGACCTGTTTGGGAGCGACCGAATATATATTTCGACACATGGTGTCGTCGCCGCGGTGTGTGTGTGTGTGTGTGCGTGCTTGTGCGTGTTGCTCGCGCGTTACTTGCGTCACAAACGAGATGCACACGTGCAATGCTGCGCAACGCGTGCACGCGCATACGGTGCATACGAGGGATGTACCGAGCACTTTTGTTTGCTTTTTTACAAATTATATCATTATAACAATCGTGACGATGTACAATTGTCCCTTTCCTTTGAGGATTAAGTAACTTCTACTGTTAACTTCTATTTATCCATATGCTATTTGCGTTTTCTTCAACGCCCCACGCCTTTATCTTTATTACGTATAAATTGCGTTAGTAAATAAGTTAGATATGATTCGCGTATAATAACCGCCGTTTAACTAATTACCCCAACAACGTAACTGCTGCGTGTTCGGAAAGACAGTCGTGACGTTATTAATCGTGTTGCGTCACATGGAGGCCGTGTACGCGTGTATGTGTAATTAGTACTCTCTCGCGAGGATAATGCGGTAATAAGTATTCCATTGATACCATCGAGTCTGAGTTTAATTTGTTTGACGATAACGATCATTCGCACGTCTCGGAGATGTGTGAAAGTAGACTTGAAAGAGCGTTTACGATCTCTCTTTCTCTCTCTCTCTCTCTCTCTCTGTCTCGCGAAATCATGCGAAAACAATTATCAGATGCTCGAGTAATTGTACTTGCGCTTTACAAACTTTCTAATACACACATTTTTTTTTATTTAAAGTCTCTGTTCTTGCAAACGTGGTGATGCATTCGAAATTGAACATTTGACAAAGAGCACAGTGGTGAGCTGAGGCCGGCGGCCGGAATATAATTTTTTCAAAAAGGAATATTTCAGCCTATTTTCTCGAAAATTCGGACGCTCGAGCGAATATATTTCGTATTTGGTCGAATGATAATTTCATCAATGTTTCTTATTAATCGCTGCATGTATCGATTGTTAAAGCACAGTATTATTAAAAAAAAAAAAAGAAACAAAAAAACCTTCAAGACTGACGACGCGCGCGAATGAAGCGATAGTTTAATTTAAACTCGCGGCGCGCAGAATGGATGCTTGCGAAACCGCTATTTGAAGCATCGTGAGCAGAGCAACGCGATGCACACGCCGTTCTCCATGGCCTAATGAGACACCGGCGCACGTGATCGGTACATTAGAGCATTCATGCGGAATATAGATTGCCCGCCGCTAAGCGTCCAATACCGTGTGCCTGCGCTCCTCCGCAATAGCGATACGCGAAATCTTAACGAGCGCGAGCAGAATTGCGAGAGAGAAGACCCGTGTCGTCGTTCTCGATGAGGAAACAGCTGGCGCAATAACGTAACATCTCGACGCATTCGATGGATGATCGCGCGCTGTGTTCGCTCGCTTCGTTTCTCGTTGCTGCGTTGATGTGTGACGACGTGTTCCCCAGGCTTGTCGGAAAATCTGCCGAAATTCAGACGAAGAGATATCTTTCTTCTCTCACTTCTCTCAATTGTTCATAATGAAGAAATTAATTGCCGTCTGGCTAACGAGACTCTGTTTGGAGGGAGGTGGGATAAGCTAGCACCTTTATTATTATGAAATGCGTTAAATCGTGACGGATTCTAAAGTTGAAGGAAATGGGATTCATTAGATTTTTTAACGGTTTAACGTTAATTGCCCTAACGGCCTCCAATCAACCCTGCCGATTCACTTATCTTCAGCGGGTCGTTACCAACACTTACGCTCTTTTCCTTGTATCAATATTATTAATCGTCGCCACGTCGTCGTCGTGCGCGCGCGCGCGCGCACGCGAGGGGACGCACGGGGTATAATCGAGTAATTCTCGCGGAGAATTCGGTTTCATCCCGGGGACGCGAGAGGTTGGGGAAGGATTTGTCTCGCCGTAGCGAGAATGACGGATGACGGTGACGAGGCTAATTTTGCGGTCGTTCCGGTTACCGCGAACTTTCGTCCTTCGTCACAGTCGCAGTTACTCGCGATTCTCAAGGGCCACCTTTGCCTCTCTTTACCACCCTTGTGTCTTATCGCAATCGCAATCGTGCCGGCGACCGCGTTATCAGCGTGATAAGCAGGGTCAGGGTTGCGCGCAGTTTGTACACCCGAGGGTTCTCGCAGTGCGCGCGGTGCGTTCCGCATCGCACATCCCCGTTTGGTGTCCGCCGAGCTCGAAGCGCTTCGGGAGACATCAACCCCATCGCTTCAAGTTTGGCATTCGGCGGTGTTGGGTTACGGAGATTTC